ACTTTCTTTTTTGATGTTTCTCTCATTTTGTTTTTTTTCTTCTGTCATTTTGTTTTTTTCCTTTCGAGGCTCTTTCTTCTGTGGCTCGTTTTGATTTTCTCTCGCAATGCACATTTGATTTTCAATGTGATCATTTATTTGATTGGGTCTTTGTTTTGAAATTGACCTTGCAAAGAGACGAGTTCAATTGTGCAGAGTAGATTTCAGCGGTTACAAAGGTACTTGTTTCAAGACAAGTGAAAAAGAGACGAGTTCAATTGTGCAGAGTAGATTTCGGCGGTTACAAAGGTACTTGTTTCAAGACAAGTGAACCAGGCGAGTCAAGTTGAAAAGGATGAGATACGCATATAGAGAGAGATTACATGTATGGGAGACTGAACAGTGTGTCAAACCACGTGTGACTCAAAACATAAAGCGAGGACTAAATGGGACTAAAGAGAGGACTAAATGGGACTCAAAAAAGAAACAGACAGGTGTGACTCAAAACAAAACACGAGGACTAATTGGGACTCAAGAAAGATACAGATCACAAATTTAGGCCATGTCCGCGTTCAATTGCTAAAATAAGCGTTTCAGATAAGCATTAGATTCGTTCAACATACAATATTATGTTGAACGATCACACTTACAATTGCGTGTCCTCCGGATACACGAGGCAAAGGTAGGCCTCCAGCTCTTGCGGGGTCTTCCCTTCAAGTACAAGTTTCTCGCAAAATTGTTTGCGTTCCTTGCGTGCGGCAAGCGCAAGGCGGCTACGTTCTTCCTTGCGTTCCAAAAAGAAACGTTCTTTTGCCCAACTGAGGTCAGAAGCACGAGCTTGCAACTCAGCTTGTTGTTTGGCCGCATCAAATTCTTGTCGCCACTCGTAAGCGCTTCGTAACATGTCGATTTTGGCAGTGTTACCTAGTTGCATCGCAGTGGCAACCGGATGTTTGTAATCCTTGCCTCGCACGGTCAAAGGATCGATCGACGGGAGAGGATCGACCAAACGACTAGCAAGGGTAGCGCGAGTAGCGCCACGAGATTGGGTCGCTGTCGAGATACTAGGGCCTTCGTCTGAAGAGCTGTCTAGGGCACGTTCTTCCGCCGTGAGTGTGTCCTTTCTGGCCGATTTGCGTCTGGATGAGGCGATGATCTTTTTTTTCGCGTGGGAAGAGGTGGCAGTCGCACGTGTAAGGGGTGGGTTGGGTAAAGGTTCAACCGGCGAAGCAGGTCTTGGAGTTGGGGGTGGCGAGTCCGCGTCGTTGTCAAGAAAAGAGCGATAGTGAGCGTTCAGTTCGGATTCTGCAATGGCAACCAAAGGACCTGGAATCACGAGGGAAGCCGATGGAATTTGGGCGTCCACGATCTCTTGATTGGCAAGGAGTTCTTCAGCACTGGGGATGGGTACAAGAGAGGTATGTTCTAGTCAAAAGGAACAATGAAATGAAGAAACAAGGTGAATCAGAGAGAAATCTACACAGACATAGATGAAAGAACATACCATTTCGCTCGTTTGGGACCTCACTGTGGTCATGGCCATCAGTAGTGCTCCGGTCACTCTCGCCTCCATTCAACTTGGCATCGCCTTGAGTGTGTTCATCATCCAAGTCGATGTCATCGTCAGACACGGGTGGGGAAATCCCAGTGTCCAGAACTCCAAAAGGGTTGACGTTTGGGTTGTCCCGAAAGATGACATCCATCTCTTTGAAACAAGGGCACATCCAATCTAATAGCTCCTCCATTGTTCGAATACCATCAGCGACATTCTTCGCAGACAAGCCACTCCCGGTTTTCAAACTGAAGGCCTTCGTTTGATGATATTTCGACTTGAATCTTTTCAAACGTTGGTGTAAAAGCCGACCATTCAAACGCATATCGGTTGAGCTATGCCAAATGTTGTAACCGTTGTTGAGCTCAATGGCTAAGGAGTTCAAGATGGCGTTGGCGTTCATGGGTAAACCGGAGACACGGGTGTGGCTACCGCCGCCGAAGAGGGAATTGCGAAATCGCGGGTTGCTGAGGTAACCAACAATGGTTTGATATTCGACCAATTGGAAAGGAGGGCTGTCTCTTGAGGATTTCGAAGAAGGGGCCATTGAAACGCTGCGGGCACGTTTTTGAGCGGCCAGACGTGACCGTTTGATGGCCGCAGGTGTCGCTCGGGCAGCGCTAGCCGGGAGACCTGAGGCGACGAGATCCTCCTCGATTTGAGCACGCGTACGACGGGTTCTACGGGCAACCTGAAGATAATAAGTACACGTCAGCAGAGTCATCACTTTGTTATTAAGAAACAACCAATTGATGAAGGTTTCACTCACCTTGCCGTTTGATTGAGGCACTGACGACATTCAAACGGTGTTTGGACTGGAAAGAGAGGCTTGAGGGCTGGAAGGATAAGGCCACAGTGAAAAAGGAAAAAAGAATTGGGAAAAGAATCGGTTGATATCAGGGAATCGAATAGAAGAAGTGATTAGAAGACAAAGTGGAAAGAAGCAGGGTTAGGATTAATAGGCAATTAAATAGGAGAGCATGACACGGTGCTTATCCGGAGTTGGCTAGCAGGCAACATCATGCGAGATCAGATTGTCTTTGGTTGACATGATCAAATGCCGCATACAAGTCAGTCCAAACGCATAACCAAAGAAAAGATCCCCACGAAGTCCGGTTAGAAGGTCGGCATGGAAATATTCTTGGTTTGAAGGGTGATTTCGCGGGTTATGCGATTGAACTTAATATCTTGATTAAATCAGTCCTGATCCGAGGTCGATCGTGTTGATGAAACGAGTGAGTCCTGACGAGATTAGTTTTCATGAATACGGTGAGCCATGACGAGATGAGGTGACCAGGCGGGAAAGAAGAGCACCAAGAGGACCTCGAAGAGGAGCAGACGAGGCTCTCGATGGCGAATCTGGATGTTGTCTCCGGACACCACAGGCCAAGGTCATCGGATTCCAAGGCCGACGCCCGATATCGGAATCAAAAACGATGGTAATGAAAGAGTGAAACATTAAAAAAGAATTTTTTTTTTTTTGGGGGGTGAAAAGACGTTGCACACAGGGCGGAAAAAAGAAAAAAAAGGAGCAAAAAGATTTTTTTTTGGGGGGCCATTTGGGACCTGATATGTCTTTTTTTTTTTTCCCAGTCGATTGCTCCAAATATTTTAAGATCATTAAACTGATCGCAAGTTTGTGAACCACCTCTAGAGATGGTTCGCAAAACTTAAAACTATACTTATAATTTTAACTTAGCGAGCAGTCCGTAAAACTTTAAGATAGGCTGTAAACACCCGACTTGAACTGCCCTATTCATGATTGAATCCATAAACGACTTGATGGTCAAAAGAAGTGATAGGTACAAACTAAAGAACCGCACCCACCGACATAATATATGATGTTATTCTACTTAATAAATAAATCAAATGATAAGTAACTCTGAAACCACGTAATGTGAAAACAAAATCAATTTACAATTTACAAATTGAGTGATATCAAAAAGATAAAAAGTTACATTCCTCTAAAAGTTTTCCAAAAGATTTCAAACAGCTGATCTTTTAGCCAACATTCTTGCACCTTTACCTTCTAACCATTTTTGATTACTTTCACTATAAATCATTAACCTAGGACGGTTTAAAATCGATTTATAATTCTTAGTCCATTGACTTTGACCTGCACCAAAGATTTGACAAACTGATTTAGATTTATGAAAAGGTGAAGGTGTGATTTGATGATCATCATCATCATCAGTTTGATAAAAGCTTTGTAATTTTTGAATTTGATGTAATGTAAGAATCGATTTGATTCGATAACGAGTGGATTGAATTCTCATCGTATCAAACGTTTTACTTGGTGCGATCCCATTAGATTTATAAACCGATTCAGATTTCCAATTAAATGTATTAGGAGGATAAATACAATCCCATAACAATAAAGGTAATTCACTAGCAATTGCCATCTCTGGTTTTCGATCCACAAATTCATCGGTAATCAGTCCTAAACCTTCTGGTTTTTGAGCACTCGAATCAGTATATAACAATCCATCGATCAAGTTGGGTGATTCTAATCTTGATCCAATTAAAAATAAAATCGCCATGATGTTTCTAACTTGATTATAAAGAAACGCACTACCTCTAAGATCAAAAACATACATTTGATTCTTTTCACCTAATCCGTCTTGTCCAACCGATCCTTCAAGTCCATCATTCTTATTAAATTCAGGACCAATTGCATTCTCATCAACTAAATTAATTTCAGCAGAATAAATCTCTCTTTTAAAGTTTTCAATTTGTTTAGACTTATCTAATTTACAAAGATTTCTAAAATCATGTTCTCCGATCAACTTCTTGGCTCCTTCTCTCATCATTTCAATATCTAACGATTGATTTAAATCAGATTCAAATTTAGTAAAAAAATATTTATAATGTCTACCTTTACAAGAAAATCTTGCATCAAATTCAGTTGAGACAGGTGACCAAGCAATCACTTTAATCGATTCAGGTAAAAGTGAATTTAAAATTGAGATATAAGGTAATTCTTCTTGAGGTTTGTTTGAAATTGATGAATTTAAAATCTTAGGATGAACTTCTTCATTCTCTTCATCTGTACTTCTTTCAAATCCTTCAGGATCTCTAAAACTTCCAGGTGGGCTTTGCTTTGAATCAAGCAGTTCTTGACGTAGTTTTGAATCCAAAAGATTACTTCTAACCCAAAGACTAACCACTTGACCCGATCCACTCACACCAGCATCAGTTCTACCAGCTCTAGAATATTCCCATCCTTCTAAATCAACTGCTTCACGCCATTCTTCTGTCTTGAGGATCTCTTCTCGATCTTCTTCTTGAAATTCTTCTGACATCTCCACTAATCTAGCTGATAATAATGCTTTAAATAATTCACCTTCTACTGTGGTTAATGGGGTGATCTCAGGTTGCCATGCTAATCCTCCATGATTCCATCCTTGATATACGATTTGAAGTGCGATTTTTCGGGTAGGATATTTTTTAAATTCGAATTTCTTTTGACTTTGTTGTTTAATGTGTTTAAGTTTTTTTCCGATCGCAGGTGTGGTCATCAAATCTATCCTGTTTCCTTCTTGTTGGTTTTGGATTCCACTAGTAGACTGTAATAAGTCTTTAGAAAGTTTAGAAACCTTCAGGGTCGAAAGACGTCCTTCTAAATCTTTAATTTTAGAAATCAATTCTTCCTTTGATAATTTCTCGTAATCTGAATCTGAGTTAGAATCCATTCGATTGTATAAACTGAATCATCAAACAGAAATGAGACTTGATGAAAGATAACCAAATCAAAAGAAGTTTCATGATAGATAGTTTAATGATTGCGCACTTTGATTGAGATAAACCCTTTACGAATGTTGTTGTTGAATAGGACCTTTGATTTAGTTTTGAGACTTGATGATGAAGTGTTGGTATTGATATTAATCGATTCATGAAGTTGATTGTGGTTGCTCAGCATTTCTAAAGTTTGATCGGATCAAGTCAAAACTACATTAATTTAAACTATAGTTGAGTGATACTGCATTAACTCGATCAGAGGTTGCGTCACCAACTCAGACTCACTCCAGAGTCCATCATCAACTCATCAACTCACCAATCAGCAATCAGTTACCAGATTCTTTCCTTGAACAAACTCAATCTGTTCAATCATGTCAAACAACTCAGGATTCGATTTCTCTCATCATATACGTAATGCTTACTTAACCTCAACTGCTGGTCCATCTAAACTTTCACTGCCAAAAGCGACTAGTACCGGTACCACCATTGTTGGTTTGATTTACGATGGTGGAGTTTGTTTAGGAGCTGATACTCGTGCTACTGAAGGTCCTATAGTAGCTGATAAAAAGTCTATCCCTTTCTCTCTGATCTCATCTCTTGGAAACCTTTACTGACCTTTTGATTTGGTCTTGGTTTGGTTTTGAAATCTCAACCAAAACAAACAGTTGTGAAAAGATTCATTTCATTTCAGATAATATTAGATGTTGTGGTGCAGGTACTGCAGCTGATACTGAATTTGTTACGGCTATGATCTCTAGCAAGTTGAGTGAATTCGATCATCTAATTATTTTTCTCTTTGTTTAAAAACTTTCAAACATAAATCTAATGAATTACCCTTTCGATTGAAATACATCCGATTCTAGTATCGAACTTCATGCTTTATCCACAGGTAGACAACCACGTGTGGTAACAGCCATGACAATGTTAAAACAACATTTATACAAGTTAAATCGTCTTTTCTTCTATACCTTTTACAATCCCCAAAAACTAATCTTGTATTGGTTTCAAGGTTCCAAGGTCACGTAGGTGCAGCCTTAGTAATCGGCGGAGTAGATCCAACTGGAGCTCATCTCTTTACAGTAGCACCTCATGGTTCGACCGACAAATTACCATATGTCACCATGGGATCCGGATCACTTGCAGCCATGTCTGTCTTTGAATCGCAATGGAGACCTAAACTATCTAAATCAGAAGCTATCGAATTAGTAGTCTTGGCTATCCATGCTGGTATCTTTAATGATTTGGGTTCAGGTTCGAATTGTGATGTGTGTGTGATTGAAAAAGATCATACTGAGATGTTAAGGAATTATTCAATGCCAAATGAAAGGGTACCTAAAGAATTAAGTTATAAGATGAGACGTGGTGCTACTGCTTGGATCGTAAGTTCATTCTCTTGTTCTTTTGTTTTTTGATTGAAGATTGGCTACATTCAACTTACGTGGTTTTGTTTGTATTCGTCATAGAAACACGATGTACGAAAGTTAATTGTAGATGAATCTATCACCAAGATTGATAATAAATCAGACAAGAAAGCTTCAGAAAAGATGGATATGGACAAGTAATGATGAATGATCAATGAAAAAAAGTCCTAAAATTGTTTTTTTTTTGGTTTGAACTCAGTGGTTTTGAAACAACCTTTTGGTCAGAAGTTTTGTCGATTGATTCAAAGTTTTTGTTAGTTATTAAATTTTGAATCAATTTTAGACTAACCAAGAAATGTGAAATCACAAGAGATTTATGCTTGTACTTGTGTGAATTATACATACGAAAAGACCCACTATGCGTATTTTATGAGGGCAAGTCTGCTGATCTTACTTGGAGGTGAATTATTGATACAAAAGTCAAGTTGATGTTGAGCATCTCCATGAATTCGACCCATATCAGGTATGTATCATATTTTTTGGTATGGGCTGTGAAAGCATTTCACCCAATAAGACCAAGAAGACCGAAGCTACTCTACTTCTGAGGTAAATGACCGATGTATGTGGTCACTGATAGAGTGACTCCAACCCACCGGAGCTACATGAAGTCCAGGTGGCTTCAAGTGTTATCTATACGGGTGAATGCTTCTAGCAATATCTTTCAGTGTCACTAACTTGATGAAAAAACTCATCGTGAATGTGAAGCTTCTGAACTTTTTAAACAAGCCAAGAAAACATTATATAAAATTCGATCTTTACTATATTAGACTAAGCATTGTGATTTCCAAAAAAAGCAATAACCGAGTCTTTCCAAAAGACATTCACAAACCCATCATCTTCTAACCTAAATATTTTTGATTTTTTTATGATCAACTATACACAACCGAATCTTGATAGAAATCATTTACTATACATATTCATCATTTCTTTGAAAGTCACCATTCATTCATTCATTCATTGTGGAGCTGGCCATCTTCCTCCCATTCCATCATCAAGTGCACCAAAGGAAGAAGAAGAAGTGTTTTTGTTCCATTTAGTTCTTGATGGATCAGGTTGATTTTGAAGTACATCAGCTAAAATTCAATTCAATTCAACAACTGTAGATCAGTTTCTTTTCTTCCTAAACTGATGATGGAATTAAATCTTACCTCTATCAAGCGTTTTACCTTCATCTTCATTTCCCCATTGATCTTGTTCGATTTCTTGTTCAGTCAAATCAGTTGGATCAATTGACTTTTTGTTGATTTTTTTAGGATCTGAGTTAGTCACTTTCACATCTTTCATTAATTTACTTAATTCTTCGGCTTGTTTTGATGCTTTTAATTTTTGTCTTTCTTCTTGTCTTTTAAGTAATTCTGGTCGATAATCACTATTTTTTTAAAAAAAAAAAGATCAAGTTTGGTCAAGTTTGTTTAACCTGAATTGGTTTGGTTAAGGGAATAATCATAGAACTTACGTTTCATATTCTTCACGTGCTTCATCTACTGCTTCAAAAAACTCTTTCATTCCAAAGCCTGTCATAGCACTACACCCAACAGCCTACCAAAAAAAATACAACAAGTATATTAAACCAAAAAATCTAATGAAATCATCTTTATCAAAACAAAAGGGAATCAACTCACTCTCAGATTTTTATAAAATTCATCTAAAACTAAACTCATTGAATTCATTAAACTACTCATATAACCACTACCACCTTCAGTTTCATTTTCTTGACTTTTTGACATCAATGCTTCTTGAAACTTTTCAAAATCTTGCATCCATTCTAATGCAAACTCATGAGGTTGAACATCTGTTTTATTAAATACTAAAATAAATGGTAATCTAGTTTTATACAAAATCCTATAAAAGAAACAAAAAAAGGAAGAATTTAGTTTGAGGAACCAATGATCAATTGATTGTAGGATTTGATAAATGTAGGAAAAAAAACTAACGAGCAAGCGTATAACATATTACTCATAAACGTAGCAGGAGCAGTCGTTCTTGGTGTATCGATGACATAAGCTACCACCGTAGGTAATGAAGAAGCAATAGCATCTGTAATAATCGCACCAGAAGCAGACCAAGTAAAAATCTCGATTTGACCAGGTGTATCTACAAGAATATGACTAAAGTTTTTTTTTGACGGGAATGTACATGCTTCAGTTTAAAGTTTGTAAAAGAATCAGATAAATGTCTTCACTCAACTCTAATGAATCGGCCCTTTTTTCAATATAATTTAAAACTTGATCAAATTTAGTTGTGAAAAGGTTTAAAGCCGTCAAAATACCACCATTGGGACCTAATCGATATCTAAAAGAAGAAGAAAAAGATCATTGATAAGCTTGTGCTGAGAAGTTCTTGAATGTTGACTTGAATTATCTCAACGAGGAGAATGATAAAATCAATAATTTAAAAAAACTAAACTGTTTCATAACTTCTTTATAATCTACTGTATCTCTTATATCAATATTAGCTTGAAAAGGTAATTTAGCCACCGCAGGATCCAAGTTTACAATATAAGGAGGTTTCTTAATCGTATGTAAGTAAGAATTTAATCTCTACATTATCAAATCAATTTTTGTTTATCAAAGTGACAATCTTGTAATTAGTATATTGGTTCTGTTTCTATTTTTTTTCTTCGAAAACAAATGATGGTAAACTAATGAAAACTAACTGACTAACTTGAACAAATGTTGTTTTTCCACTTCCAGCCATTCCAATACAAATCACACAAACTGATTTCTTTAATGAAGCTGAAATGTTTTCATCTTCTTTTGATTTCTCTGTAGACTTTGACTTGGTATCGGGTTTAATTTCATTTTCTGTTGATGTTGTAGAATCTAGATTTTTTGGTGTATCGACCTGATTTGATGAGATAGGTATTTCTGATTTCGTTTCTGATGTTGACATCTTGATTTCTTATGTTCGTCTTGAATATTTAAAATGTTTTGGTCGGTTTGCAGATGTGGCCGTTGAAATTTTTGGAAACCACATTTTCAACGCGAAGAACTTTCTGTGAGCACTTGAGGCCCAGGGCCCTTCACCCCGAGGCTGTGTGACTCGAGCTCGGGTCAGCCACTTCCACACCGCATCACATGACCGGATACTAACATCAGCTCGAAAATGATCAAGACCAGAGTGCAGAATCAGACTTTCTCACTTGCCATAAAAAGCTCATTCTCACTCGAATTAAAGTGAAGCAACTTCATATTCAATAATCATTGAAAAGTCTCAAATAAATAAATCAATGAGAACTGTTTATCATCTCTCATATTCTGATTTTTACACCCTTCGACAAAAAATTCTATTTGTCTATTATCATGGTACTTACCAACATCAAAGGATATGATCATAAATTAAACAATCTAAATTTGAAATAACGAAAAATCCAGAGTAATTTTGTTGTATAAAATCAGATCTTTCTAATTTAGCAAACGCTTTGGATGTTGCATATTTCAATTGCAATGGTCTTTTGCAATAAGGAATATTACATATGTATCTTCTTCTCAAAGTTATCAATCATAACTCTGAAGACTAACGTTTTCTTCGCGAAAAAACTGACCTTCTTGAAACTTCAAATCGTTTTACCCACCCTGTCCTTACCATAACTTTGAAGAATTCCCGAGTCAAGTCCTCTGAAAGATATGTGCATGCAATCTGACAGGTCACATGACACAGCATCTTTGATTTGTTGGATGTTTCATCGATCATCTCACCAAACAAGTAGGATATACATGCAAGTACTTCGAGTCACATCAAAAAGAATTTGCCCAAGTTTAAACTGATCGAACAGTTCACTCATAGAAGAATGGTCAACGAGCTGATCATCATTACCCCATGAATAAAATGCTCAACTTGCTACAACCACTCACCAAATCCTTGCAAACTTTCCTGGGACGAATCTTTTGCTCTCAAGGATGTATTTCACCCCGAATAACGGCAAAAATATGGCGTTCCTAGACAGGCTTGAACTGTCAACCTCCTGATTGCAACCTGTGAAGGTGTTAACAGTCAGACGCGCTAGCCAATTGCGCCATAGAAACTGTATGTGTGGCGCTCGATGTAGGTTATATAATCAATTGGCACGTCGAGATAAGTAAATTGAGTGGTCTGAGGAAAAGCTCTGATGTAACCTCTTTTTTTTCTATTAGAATGTAGGGAAATCAGGTTTGAGTGACCAAAATACCAAGAAGTGCAACACAATGCCCCCCTTTGATTTATTTATTTTTTTCTCTGGGAGTTTCAGAGTGGTCCTTGCGCAATAAATCACTTGCACACTATCTAGTGGGCTTTGCCTTGCGCCTCTATATGGTGATATAGTGCACAGTATTGCACACTATAGTGGCACAAGGGGCTCTCAAAAATGGCAAGCATATAGTTATTGGCTGTGTATAAAAGAAAAATACAAGTGACCATGTATAGAATAGAGAAGAAAAAACAAGTAAACCAGTGACCATGTATGAATCTGATACAACAAATAAAATAAGGTACTCCCCTGGGTATATGGTATTGCTCTGTTAAATAGCAGAGAAACACTGACCCTGGCCCATTGCAGAGTGCTTAATGCGCTATGGTAGCTTTCCACCCCCAAAATGTGGTGCAAAAGCTCTGCTATATACAATAGTGGGGCTATTGCAGAGCCAAAAACTGCTCCACAATCTCAAAAAAGAGTGGAGCAATTCACCATGTCAATATCCTTGTAGCATGTTGACATGCACACACACAGAATTTCAAACAAATCTCAAACTCTTTTGGTTGGATTGAGACTTAAATTGTTTTTGAGCACTCTTTTCAATCAATGATTTAGGTATATGATTTGTGGAAAACTTTGTCAGCAGCTGGGTTCAACTAAGTGTCAACGTCCCAGTTGATAAGGGGGAGATTCACCCTGTGGAACCTATTTGAAGGATCTTTTGAGGGTCTAAGAAGATTCCCTTGTGTGTATGTATGTCAATATGCTGCACGGATATAGACACAATGTTTGTGGCATTGTCAAAGATACAGCTTCTTGAGAGGAAGTGGAAGATTTTGAGGTGATGAAAAAGTGTTTATGCCAAACTGAAATTTCAGGATCCTTGCTTGTCTATGAAGACTGGCATATTATTGCTCAAGTCCCTCAGAAGATGCCCCAAGCTTGCAATGATAGTATGTCTGACCGTGGGATTAAAAGACACAGAACAATGCAATAATATGCATTGTGTTGCAAGTTTGTTGCAGGGTGCTGTAGTTACATTGGGGTATATAGACATTGCATCCAGGCTAAACTCATCAATCAATAATTTTAGGCAACCTGTAATAATCCACCACAGAGCCATTTCCATCTACATACCTTACTCGCAACAGGGAGGTGAAACAAAGCCAAAACTTTCACCAAACACCTCACCCCAATCCTGATTGTAATGACAAGTTCCCCTGATCCTGCTCTAGATACCAATCTCAACATTTGGTTTGTCTTTTACTTGAGCGTTTGAACCTGACCTGAACTTTCAACTACATTCTCAGACACTAAACACTAAAACCCTCACCCCACATTTTAGTATTTTGCTCATAATATTGTTTGTATCACTCTAACACTACGCCAGATCACTAATTTACCGCTGAGTTTATAAAATTGAAACTGTAGAAAAATATCACCAATACAAGGGAGGTCGGAAAAATTTGAAAAAATAATGATTCAATTCATGGGTGCTGTCCCCTCATTTTGCATATATTTGCATATTTTTGCCATGATGTTTGAAGTCTCCCCAAACCAAAATGCTCACAGGGGATATTATGTCAGAAACTCAAATTTGGTCCAAAACTAGCAATATTTGGGCAAAAACCTTCAAGCACAAAAATATGAGTATTTTTGTTCAATCATCTGAACACTTGCAATTTATGGAAGTCGCATGATGGCTCTACAAGGTTTATTAACGTGCTGAAGCCATTGTAGTAATGACTTTTATGCTTATATATGGTTCGTGCTGTGTACGTCTCTTGATATATCTCACCCATTCTTGGAGACACACAACTTTTTTGTGCACAAAAACTGTAGAGCCAGAATGTGGCATTCAGAATGTCAAGACACTACAAGTGTTGGAGCAAAATTGATGATTTTGTTGGTGTTGCAAGGTCACTGTCTCTCTACCTGCCAGTTTTGGACCAAATCTGGGTTTCTGACATTATTTGCATTGTGGTTGTAAAAATATGAAAAAATATGCCAGATGATTGGAATGCACCAAAGGGCCCAACCAATATTTGTTCATATTTTTCTGACCCCTCCCAGCTTTTCCACAATTGTCTATGTCTGCTCAATTTTCTAAACTCAGCGGTAAATTTTCAATTTGGCGTAGTGTAATCAGACCACTTAGATTTATATTTGACCCCTGATGTATCTGAGAAAATTTATTTGCCACTATGCAGCTGCTGAGATCACTGGAAGATGTAGTTTATACTGAAAGCAACTCACTAACTGATGTTGGTGTAGTTGTCATATTTCACAATTGTTGTGGTGCCATCCCCAAGGGAGGTAGAGTAATCAAAGCCTGCATATTGAAATCAAGCAGGAGGTTTGGGGAGTGTGGTGTGATCCAGGTGCAAGGAAGTGAATGTGGTGTATCTTTGGTTGTCCATGGGGATACATGTAGATGGTACAAAGGAAAAAAAACAAAGAAAGAAACAATTTAGAAGAGGGGGTTTGTGTACAATCTGAGTTCATCAAGCAAACCTGGAACAGTGGGTAGCCAGGAAGGGCTCTACTTAATTGAATTAACTGAATGACAAATCATCTTCCTCTAGCAGTTAATCAGAGCTAATCTGCACACCAAGGCCTGACAAGGATTTGAGGGATGGCTTAGAGCACATTTCTGTGCCAGATTCCAAATTTCTTGAAAAAATCCAATGGAACCCAGAAATGGCCAAGCACAATGCCTATGTCACATTTTATAAATTCCACAGAATTTCTCTTGTTCTTTTTTGATTCATGTGTAAAGTGATCATAAATATTTTTAAGACCAGTGTTTTTTGGTTTTTAGTGCCAAATACCAAAATAATGAGTTTTAAAATACCAAACAAAGATATAAGGAAGGAAGATTCCTTGGTATCTAGAATATGTACATGTCCCCACGCCTAGGATTTGTAATTGTTGGGTTTGCGACAGGCCCCGGCCCCGCCGCTGCAGAACTTGAATGATTACGTAAACCACTTGGAGGGGACTGTACAGGATCTTCAGGTACTCAAACAAGGGGAAATAATTCTTGGTCTCAAGAAATTTTCTTGAGGAATGGTGAAGGTGGTATGGGGTGAGTGTTTGTCCCAGCCAAAGGTCAAATGTTTGTCAGTTTAAGGTATGTGGACTGGCTCTACATCCTTTCTGAGAGGAAGAGGAGTTGTCCTGACATCTGTAGGGCACTTTAGTTAACTTAGTCTGATTAGGCTGACTAATTAAGTCAGGCAGCATTGTGAATGTAAAACCAAGGAAAGCTGTAGCTGAAAGATCCAATGCCTTTCACCAGGACTGATATGGATGGAAAATCTAGCTGAACAAACCCTCACCATGGGGTGAATTGGGGCAAGACCTAGCCTGGCCATCACAGGGGGGCTCCCTTCTTATTGGAATATTTGGCATAATATCAAAAGTTTGGCAAGGATTATACTTAGCCTCCTTTTGCTCTGCCTTCCATCCCAAGAACCCCTGAGGGGCTCTGATGAGCATTGTATTAGTCACATCTTTTTCCCTCTTCAATTTTTTTCCAAGTAATCTAGAAGTCAAGTTATCCAACAACTTCATATTTCAACCTCTGGTAATTACTTAACTGGCCATCTGTCCAGAGCTCCAAGCAACCAGAATCAATGTACAAGTACATAATAAACCATCAAGGAAACAACATAAATTAAACCTGATTCAACAATTCACATTGAAAAAAATATTAACAGGCTGATAAACATTGCCACATGAAGAAAATACTCAATTGTCATATACACTTGCATCCTTGTCAGAGAACAAACTTTTGTTCCAATATAACAAGCCCTTGCTCCTGGCAAGGTGTTTGACCCAATCAACTATCTCCAATCAACGGCAAAAATAAAGCGTTCCTAGACAGGCTTGAACTGTCAACCTCCTGATTTGAAATCAATCAAGCAGATTAATAACAGTCAGACGCGCTAGCCAATTGCGCCATAGAAACTGTATTTGGAGGACCTGGTGTGGGTATTATAATCAATTATATCAAGTCCAATGACTTTACATTCAAATGACAGTGGGATAGATATTGAGATGTCGGAGAAACCTACATGTGCCATCTTCTGTTTAAAATGAGGTTCGGATGACCAAAATGTCAATAACAGGTTGGTCGTGCTATAACTTGAGCAGGTCAAAGATTGGTAAGAGAAACTAGAGAACCTAAGCCGGATTCAGGGAGCAAGGCAGCGAGCAATATATCACGCCGTCACAATAAGTCAAAAACCGATTGGGAGATATCATTATTGCTCCATCAAACGGAAAAAATACATTGATGGGATATAAAGGAAAAAAAGAATTATGATGATCATTTAGAAAAATACGAAGGATACAAATAGATAAAGGAAAACGTTTTTGAAAATGCGTATTTGGCTGAGGATACGATTCATCAAGTAAAAGATCCGACTGGTGATCATGCCGGTGAGTGGGTTCTAGTAGTAGATTGCTGTCGTGTTTCGACCGGTAAAAAGAGCATGCAAGCACATGAAATCAAAAACATACACACACTTAGATACATGGGCAGATAAATCGATGTGATCATCATGATCCCAGCGATCATAGGGGCCAAGATCCCGGCTAGTCGGCTGAGGGCCGATGCAATCCCGCATGCTGTGCCACGGATCATTGGCGGAGTAAAGACTTCAGGAGTATAACCTTTAAGGGGAGAATCAAGATTAAGCAGGAGTCAGACATTGAAGCAAAAAGAGTGTCACGGTGCTTCTTCGGCTCGTTCCTAGGCATCCTCGAACCACAACAGTACAAAGTACTCACCATAAATCACCGCGTCTACAGCAAAATACAAGTCAATGATAAGTGACGCGAAATGTGTACAACGTGGTTTGAGTAGCTTACACATCAATGTAGCTGCCAGTGAAATCGCCATCGAACTCATGATCACCCCTTTCTCCGTCCGTACGGTGATGAAGACGAGTGTTCCGATGGCCGTAAGGAAAGTCGAGAGGACCATGGAGTATTTCCGTCCTAACCTTGTTTCAATTAGCCAAGCGCCTAGGATACTACCTGGACAACTGCAACCCTTTCCCGATCAGAAGTGATGATATGATTTGTTCAAGTGTAGACTGATCAGTCCTAACCCTGCTACTGTGTACAAAACGTAGTCCCTCAACGTTTTCTCCAATCCATCGCCACCCATTCCAATCCTTTTTTCGAGATACTTGGGCAAGAACACATTGAAACATGTACTGTGATTCAGGATTGCGAGGACGAGTGGAAATTAACGACCATCAAGATGAAAACGTATCAAAACAGCTACTACTGACTATCCGAATGCCACCGTCGTCCAGATTGTCCATACTAATATCGTGGTAAGCCTCCAGTGGGGTGTAAAAAGATATTCGATCCTTCCAGTGAAATCATCCAAGCTTGACTTCATCACATCCCATACGGAATTCGAAGCACCGTTTGTGGTCTCGGCCAAAGCGGTATAGCCGGCTCTCCGCTGACGTTGTGATTGCATCACATCATCATAGTCTTCTTGATCATCTTCGACGTCAGCGGGTGAAAGCTGTAACGAATCTCCATTATGCTGTGATATTATTTCAAGAACAATGATGGCATCTGCGGTGCGACCGGTGGCCATCAAATATTTCGGAGACTCCTGGAGCTTGAATAAGATCACTCGGCATCCAAAGAGGATGAACGTCTGAAATGGGTATGAGCACAGATGGCGGTAGTTGTCAATAGCGGATTCGATAGAGCTCAGTCGACAGAAGTATGCGACTCACAATCACACCAAGAGCAATCAAGAGATGACGCCAACCACGGTTCTCCAGCTCAGGATTACATAAAAGGGTCTCGTTAGGTGCAGGCTCATGACAGCTTTGGCCAGGCAAAAATACCAGCCCGAGTACTGAAGCAATCACAGCTCCGATTGAGAAACTGGAAGCCGAAAAGGATGACCCGTGACATTTTCAGCTTCCTCAACATTCACGAATTTCGAGCAAGACTTACGAAAAACTGACAAAAATGAGAGAGCAGTCAAGAGATAATGTCGTGTTTTCGGAATATTTTCAAGAAAAAGCATTCCATCGGTTGGCATTGAGCCTCCAACACCAGTTCCAAGGCAAAAGAGTAGAAAGCAAAGAACTTCAAATGAGGGAGAAAATCCGCATAACAGTCCAAAGACAGAGGTCATGAGGAGGGTGCCGTTGAAAGGATGCCTGCGGCCATAGGAATCCGAGACTGCGGTATTGTTATATTGAATTTGAGTTCATAGATCAGAAGTCTGCATTGTATCCACTCTAAAACGTACGTGACCTCCAAATAGAACTTGAACCCTTCTATTCAAATCTTTCACTCACAATTTCCCCAGGTCCACGCCCCGACCATCATACCAGTGAATATTGAGGTAGACAGCAAGCCAATCCACCGGTCACTAACTCGAAAATGAACTGCATTTACAAATCAGAAGCTGATCTCTGGCACAGGGCTGCCTGCCTTACGGAAAATTCATAAGAAATGTGACCTTTCACATTCACCCACTTTGAACCCGGGGTAAGATGACAGCTACTGATTGTAGCCACATCTGCCATGTGAATCCATGTGAAGTGAAATTCAAAGAAAAGAATAATCAGTTATGTGACTTGGCTCTATCCTATTCTTGTTCTATCTGTACTACATTTTGGGGTAATCTGAAATGCTTACATTGTCGCACATCCAGCCAACTGAAGGAAATTACATCCGGACATGAATAGTATCAGATGAGCTCATATTCTTTCAAATCCTCATCTGACCAATGTAGCCTCTGGGATCTTGTACTTACAACCACAGAGCACACTGTTGAATTCACCATCGCCCCAGTCAAACGGAGAGAATTCAGACCCCAGATGCGCATTCGCCAGTAAAGGGAAAGGACTAACAGCAGTTTCCATTGGTACAAGCCCATGCCAACCTTTTCGAGGGTTTGGTCGAGTGGACTCATATTCTGAGGTGTAGTAGTAGTATCCTGATGGGCCAACAGAGGGGTCGACTCGAGAGGCGTGGAGTGTGAAGCTGGCTTGAGCTCCTTATGATTGGAATGATGATCGTAGGAAGCAGATGATCGTAACCTGGCTGGAGTCGATGAAGGGAAGTGTGGTAATGAAGCCCTATGAAGAGTCATTACGAAGAGAGTTGATGAGTTGAATTGTAGGATGTTTAGGGGAACAGCCAGGATGATAGGCTCGATGAGTAACGAGGAAGATTGGATTTGTTTAGGCTAAGTCGTATGTAGTATGATGATGAGCATATATGATAAGGTGAAGTGAACCACTTTTAAATCAAGTGGAATTCAAAACTGAGTTCCTGAAGTTGATGATAGATTCACTGACTTTGAATTGGATGGATGGTTTAAAAAGACCCTTTAAAAACGGTCAACAGTAAAAGTTTATCAAGCTGTATTGAGGAGATCTGACCAGGTCAAGAGACAAGATACAACGATCGATTTGCAAACCTGTCGTAGCCAAAGTTTGGGCGACAAAAGGAGGCGAACGCTTGAAGAGGTCACTTTCGCTACAGAGGGTTGCTTTCCATCCGAAAAAAAAGAAAACCATACATATCACGGCCAAGACAGTTCACAGTCAGTACAGATCACAAACCCGGAACGGAATTCGTAAGCGGAAATCACACCAAGATCACATCGATCAACTCTCATGAAACTCGTTCAAGTCCTTTGTCTGCTCTTCTTCGCTTGATCATTGGGTTCATATTGCTGAGTGATCACCTCCAGCGAAATTGACATTTGTTTGATTGAGCTTTCCGTTCAAGTTTTACATATTCTACCTAAGATGACACACTTGAAGCTTTACACACTTTGATTTGCTGGATCTCATATCTCATTAACCAAGACCCCATCATTATCCCAATGTGAACTGTTTTAAGTGGGATAGGATCTATACATGTTCTTTCATCAGTTCCAGCTATTCCATCTTTTTTCATCCCTTGTTTCGGCTAGGAATGGGGATAAAGCATCTTGAAATTACATTCACGGTGACATACTGACTGGTCAAATGTGGTCTCCAAAATGCAAGGAATATAAGGTTGAGGGACACTTTACCGACACGAGATGAGGTACCACTACCAGTATAGGAGAGTATAGGTCATTAAACTCAACAAAGTCCCACGCTGTGTTGAGTTTAATAGGTCATCTGACTTTTTTTGCTGTACTTTCTCATTGTTGGTCTCACGCTGAACAAGATCGATATGTGTTGATTCTCAATCTACTTCAAACGTGTTTCTTCTTAAAACACGCTGACAAACATACTTACAGGGTTGTCAAGATTAACAACGACTTTCAGCTGGTATGTTTCTGCAGACTTGGTGCGCTATGGACCCTTCCCCTCAACAAATACTTTGGAAGAGGGCCTGTAACAACCTGGGGAAGGAAAACCCATTTCCTTTGTGCATACATAGACATAGCCATACACTACAAAAAATTTAATGTATGCCGTACAGATTTCAAAAATGATCTTAATACAAAAATCAGATCACACATTTCAAAACTGAGTTCATTACAAAAATAATACATACAACATATGAGCCAAAATACAAGTGTAACGTGATAGATCCATTGATGAAGCCTTGGGGGAAGAAAGATGCTGGCGGTGTAGTCAGAATGTAAGGGCTCTAAGTCAATTTTGACAAATGAGTCAGGTTACGTAAATATTTGACACATTTCAAAAATCAATATAAATTGTATTTGAGTCATCCGTTTTTACATATGTAACACTAGGCGGTTGATGAATGAGAATATACCAATGATCAATCTTATCATACAACACCTTTCATCACGATCAAGGCACCACAGCCAAGTGTGAACAATGGATAGAATTTCACGGAAGGAAGTTTTTAGGTAACGAACCTGACATCACCCGTGTCTGACATATACATTAATGTAATTGAGGTCATTACAATATTGTAATGGCCTCAATTTATGTATGTCGCATATCTTCTCGATCCCAACACAACCAAAGAAAGGACTCTGCCAGGCTACAATACGACTCACTCATCAGATCTGATTGAATGGATCAGTCTGCCGTTGCATTGCAGAAGCCCTTGTCTTGCACTCATTTTTCCATCTCGGAGGACTCTTATCCTTTCATCCGATCACCATTATATGTAGTTGGTCTTTCGCCAGTCCAGGCAAGTCCCCCCATTCTCCCTTCAGCTGTGATTTGAGTTCGCTCGCACACATATCCAGATTCACGGTGTATGCCTATTTCGCTAATCCGTCACTTGCTATCTTTTATGCATCAAATTCACTGAGTTAGTCCTGATTCTCTAGCGGGAAATTAGGTTGTTCTTTGTGTTCCAACTCACCTATCCTTGGTCATCAACATGTAAGTCCAACAAAACTTCATCTCTCTGATTTCGTGGAGATCTCTTTTGCGTTTTGATGACACCTGATGTAACTTTATGACTTTGAGACTTCGGCAGATCTAATAAGATGGCAGGAAAGACGAAAAAGAAGACTCCTGGAAATTCTCCTGTCAATCAGGGAACCTCTCACGATTCAAAGCCAGCCCCGGGCCTCCCACCGATGTTAGGACCTGATCAGCCCCCACCTCCACCCCCCCACGAATCATCAATCAAGGTGTCAGGCGAGTTGTCAAACAAGATCTACTACAAGATTCAATCAATGACTAGCGATATGCGTGTATTTCTCCAACACGACTTCGAAAGCAAGTGGGAATTGATCAAATGCTACGATTACTACCGTATCCTTCTTCACTTTCATCCTGCTACCAAGTCTCGCCCAAACCACAAGAAACTCCTGTTGTACAATGCCTTCAAGGACAAAGTCTACCCTATCCTCAAGCCATACATGCTACCTCCTCCGCCTATCCCAATGCAAACTGAGTCCGCAGCTCGCAGGGATTTCAACCCGCTGAGCCGACGAGTCAAGAAAGAGCAACTTTCCACCGTGATTCTAGATTCCCGACCAATCACTGTAATACCTGCGGGTGCAGACATCCGAGGTTTACTTTATCTGTACCGAGAACATGTGGACAAGGACCTCAATATACCTGGCGATTCCGAGTTTATTCGAACACCAAGTGTTGTACCTCGTGATTTGGTCAAAGATCTTGTAATGGAGGAGCTTCGAATGACCTTGCAGGAACGTGCTCCACACGTGTTCATCCATTCCGTTCCAATGTCTCACACAGTTCTGGCCAATCTCTACATCATGTTTGTCTTAGGGGAGCCAGTTGAACCAGGTATGTTGGTTCGTGGGTTTCACTACTCGCTCCTTCGTAAGAATCCTTGATTGAATGGCATCGAGTCTACGTACATAAGGTTGGTTTGATCTTCTTTTTTACTTCAATCTTCTTGTTTCAAGTCTGCTGACACAATATGACTTTCGGCTACAGTCTCGGCTTGATTTGTCGAGTGAAGTTGAAGGATTTCTCTTTTCACGCTCAGCTTCCTTCAATCCAACAATGTACAAGTCATCATGTCATAACTACAGTGTAACGGATGCTCTCCTTTTTGAAAAATGAATCTATCTATTATTACTTGTCTAGATACTTGCTTGTAGACCGTGTTTGACTATCTACTCTTAAATTGGTCTAGTTTCTTTATAGTTTCAACTTTTATCTTTGTACAGTAGAACATCTGGCCAAAATGGTTGTTCCACGTAGTTCATACCCGTACCGGTGCTTCATCTTTTACCACTTGATCAGAATCTGAACTCTCCTCGAAGACGCCTGTTTCCACCGTTGTAGTCCTTCCCACAAATAAATCGCTTGACAATACAAAGATTTGTATTCCGGTTCATTTTTAATTGTATCATTTTGTTCTGGCATGCCTCCCAAAACAAACAGAAGCAAAGATGCGCATCGAATCGCTTGCCGCTGCCGAATTTATAAATGCTATCTCGGGAAATACCAAGATGCGTATGGCGTCACTCAAAACGGTGTCGAACTCGTACCGGAGACATTCGAATATCATCGATTGGCAGAACAACGGGAGAAAGCAATGTCCAGGTCTCTTGCTCACGAGACAGTGCAGACGACTCAATCTCCGACAACTCAAATCCATCAAGATATCCTTGCAGAACCTCTTGCACGCTTGAACTTGAATGCTGAATCCTCAAGCCGAAACTACCACCAGAGAGCCTCACGCTCCTTTCACGAAAGCATGCCATTACACGAGCCATCAATTAGTAATATCGCCAATAATCCTACCTCACATTCTTCTGACGAATCTCCTTTGGTCCTCTCCAAAGTCTGTTTGTCTGCCTCAAAAGCTCGAGATGAAGGAATCATTAAAGTGTACGATTGTGGTGAGACATTATGATATTACACTTCTTGTAGCTCTAATTAACAACTAAGAACTGAGTTTTTTCATTCATTTATGAACCCGGTCAAACAGATCGATTCCATACTTTTACATTAGAAACTATAAATCCACTGCTACTTCAAGTCGCCCTCATGGTAGCTCTCTTGAGTATATTTGGAAACCTATCAATGGCTACAGCGTCGTGGATTTTGGACTGCATGAAAATTACAATTGAATTAGCTTTGACTCACGGTATCAATCCTCTTTGCCCTCCTACGGCCTTAAGATCATCGGATGTATCAAATCTGTGCCGGATCCCAAAGACAATCACAACTGTGATTTCCTGGTTGAAAATCGATCCGTATCTAATCGAGATGAATTGCTGTCAACAGTGTTTTGCATTGTACCCCCTGGAACGCACTCCGAGAAATTGTACTCATCAAGTTTCTGCAATTCCTGGAGGCCCACCCGAGCAGGTCAACACTGAAACACCAACACCTTCTCCAGCTCAAAATTATGTACCTGATATTGCTGAGTTCGCAGAAAAAACTTGTGGACAACAATTGACAAAACTATCAAGAGGAAGATCAGTTCATGTGCGAAAATTTGCATTCCAAAGTCTTTCAGAATGGATCGCGCGCCTGCTCTCTCGTCCTGAAATTGAATCTTTACTAGACGAGTCTTTGGTGGAGTCTTGCAAGCCATTTGATCAGACTAAGCCCATAGGTGACATTCACGAATCAAAAATTTAGAAGAAATTCAAAGGTCCAGATGGAAAGCAATTCACCGGAACCAGTGGAAATCTCACATTTGGGATGTTTGTCGACGCAATTAACCCCTACGGAAATAAAACAAGTGGCCATCACGCGTCCATAACCTTCATCGTTATGGTTTGTCTAACACTTCCTGTAGAGATTCGACACCGACCTGAGAACGTCTTTGTAGTTGGTATTGCACCCGGCCCTTCAGAACCCTCTTTAGAGCAAATGAACTGGATCCTACGTCCCGTGGTGAATGAACTTCAAACTTTATGGAATCCGGGCCTCCTACTTTCACGAACTCATATGTACAAATCTGGGCGCCTGATTCATGCTGCACTGCTTCCTTTCATAGCTGATATACCAGCTCTCCGACGCTCCCTGGGTTTTCCAAGTGCAACAGCCATTTTTTTCTGCTCAAAATGTCTCATCACTAAGAAAGACATTGAAAATTTCGACAAAACAAAATGGAAAGCACGTACATGCGCTCAGCACAAAGTATGGGCATTTCAGGCTCGTGATTCAAAAACCGTGAAGGAGCGGCAAAAAATTTTCAAGACCCACGGTGTTCGTTACTCGGTACTTGTTGAACTTGAATACTGGGACATAGTGGATTATCATGTAGTAGATTCTATGCATAATCTCTTACTTGGTCTTCTGGCATGGCATACTCGAAGATTCTGGGCGATGAAAGATGAGAATAATGCTGATGAGGGCGTGGAGCCAATAACAAATGTCGAGCTTCGAGACCTTTTCAATGAACACGCTGAAGCACACAAACATCAAGAAAAAAGTTCAGATAAAAAAAAAGAAGACACTGATGCTGATGCTGAACCAAATGATCAGGATGAAGATGGCTTTAATATTGGTGAAACTTCTTTTGGGAATGAGACATCTCCCAGTGATGAAGACTACAACATTCTAGGTGAATCAGGGTGGAATGGGAGATGGGAGGCTCCCCCTTTTGAAGAAATAATCTTTGATGCTACAATGCTTCAAAATATTAATTGCCGCCTTCAAAATATTCATATCCCTACATGGATCAAGCGTGCTCTGCCTATTCTGGGAAAAGCCTCATTTGGAAAGCTTAAGGCCGATGAATGGAGAAATCTTTTCTCAATACAATTACCACTGATCCTTATACCATTGTGGGCTGATCAAGATAACGTGAAGATGTCTCTCCTTCGGAACTTTCTGCACCTAGTGTCACTTGTCAATCTTGCTCTGAAACGTAAAATGACATCAAATCACATCAAAAGCTACGAGCATCACATTCAAAACTACCTCGAAGGCTGTGTTGAATTATTTGAACATTGTGGCTTGGCTCCAAACCATCACATGGCTCTTCATTTGTCCGAGCTGCTTGAGGAGTTTGGTCCAGTGCGCACTTGGTGGTCTTTCTTTTTTGAAAGATTGATGGGAAGCATCCTGAAAGGCTGCCACAACAATCACATAAGTGAGTTTTTTTGTGCTCAAAAAGAAAGAATAAGATTCACCAAACATGTTTTTTTATGTAATTAGGCGAGCTTCCAATAACTTTTATCAAGAATTTCTCACGAGCTGGAAATCTTGCTGCTCTTCTTGAAAACGAAAAAATGCTGGATGCGCTCAAGCCCTATCTTTCTAGGTTACGGTCTTTGTATGAACCCATAGAACCTATACCAAAGCGCCTTTCAAACTCAAATGCGCAGCCCGTCAGACCCGATATACTCAAAAAGCTAGCTGAACGCTTGAACAACGAAGATCAGCAATACCAGTGGATGGTTCCAGAAGAGTTGTGTTTACTTTCAGATGATGATGCACTGGCGTATGAATCACTTCGGCCTCAGGCGTTCTTTTATAAGCGGATCATGCATAATTCAGTGTCATTTTCTTCTTTTAGCAACAGTCAGAATGATAGTTTTATTGAGTTCAAGATAGGTAATACTGGTGTTTGTGCTTATGGGCGCATATTTTCCATATTCACCCATCGTCGGTCTCCAACACGCTCAGAAAACATTTTTGATACATGGCTTCATGTGCAACGTTTTCCTCAAATACCTGCTACCCTTGCAAAGTTTAATCCTTTTCGTCACACAAAAGGATTCCACACCGAAACCTGTTTACGCGCATGGGGACCAACCGAAGATTGTATTGTGAGATTAGACGAAATTGTGGCACATTGCTCATGGGTAATGTTCAAGGCTGGGGAAATTAACTCGAACTTAAAGATTGCTACGGTAGGTTTGGTTTCTATGTCCAGATAGATTTCTTTAATCAAAATATTTGTAGCAGTCAAGGTTATGTAATTACACATAGTCTATTCAAATGAAGGAAAAGAACAAAAAAAAGCAACCCTTGTTTGATGTGAATCTAAAGTTGAAATCTTTGGACAAGTCTATGTACAAAGATCAGCTTGAAATCAAGGGAAGGCAAAAATTGTAAGCTTGGTTGGATGTAAATCTAGAGTCCAATAACAGGACAAGGTTATGCACTTACAAATACCATCTTCAAATTGTGGGAAGGAACGTGAAAAGAAACGATCCTTGTTCAAAGTGAATCCAAAGTTTCGATGATTCCAGTCAAACCAATTTCAGGTTTGACTTGTAACATAATTTGACCCTTCGAGCCAAGCTTTTCAAGGAAGCTTGTTGAGTAGCAGTCTTTGGGAAGTCCTTCGGGTGGTGCTAAAAGACTTTCTGGTGCGTCATCACGCCGGATACGCGGGCGAGATGGTCTCCCTCGCTGTGGTGAATTTGAGCCTCCAGGAACGCTTTGATCCACTCTTCCCTTGCGCGCGTCCAAGCGAACCAGGACTCCTTCGAGGTCCATGCTACGCCAGAGAAGTTTCCGAGCACAAATTGAACCTTTGCCAGGAGTAAAATCGTGCCCCTCTTCGACATCCGTCTCATCATCGCTACAAGCGGGCGGGATGAGTTCTAACAAAGGCCACAAGGCTTTTTCTTCAAGCGCAACCTTGGTCCGCATCTTTCTCAACTGAAAGGTCAATGTTAAAGGTGAGGTCAGCCGTTTTCACCATCATTCAAGAATTGATCACAAGACATACGTACACGGCATGAACGTGTTGCACGTCGTATACTTGAAGCCATGCGTTCTTTACGTTCGTTGTCCCATGTCTGCTGACGATATCTGAAACTCGTTCAATTTTCGATGATTTGATAGTGTCAGCGTGGTGATGTAGGCAACAACATAAATACTTCATACCTTTTCATTAGCGTCTGTATATGAGACAAGAAACATTTTTTAATGTATGGAACATTGTCCGTATCGAGAGATACTCCGTTGTACACTCCCAAATCCACAAGTTTAAAGAAGATTCTCTCCGAGAGACCCCATATACGTTTGTTTTCTTGGGAAGATGGCGATTTTGACAAGTTTGGGCGAAAAGATTTGACGTGAGCTGCATTCATTAACTGCCACGTAACTGAGAGTTGTTGAGGTGAAGCTTCTTGATGTCCCGGGCCATTTGGATACGGTAAACACGGGTCAGAGTCAGAGTCCACATGTCCACGGTCGGATTGCTGGTGTAGGTCAATAACAACATTGTCCAGATCTTCTTTGCAATTCCATTCCTCCTGCTCTTCGGTGGTTGCTGGAGGTGGAAGAGGATCAAGCGCCGATTTGAGTCCAAACATCATTTCAATATGGAACCGGATGCATGCCTGATATGTGCAGAAAGAGAATCCATGAACTCCAAGCATCATAACCAAAGAGAAAGACAAGACAAAGGACACTTACCGCCGTGCGTCCCCCGCGTGCCTGACTGCTTTCTTGTTCGGCGTGATTTGCAAGAGACGTCTTGACAAAATTCGATAAGCTCTTAAATTCACTTTCAAGGGTTTCGATCCTTTTGTTTGCCTTGACCAGTGCCGCTCTGCTTTCTTTCCATAACCTGGTGAGCTCTTGGAGAGAAAGGGAGGTTTTGGAGGCTGTTGATATTGATTATTAGTTTGGCTGGCAAAGTTCGACGTCATCACGATAGAAGTTTGGAACGTACTCTCCTCATCTGTCGCTACTTTTTCAGAAGCTACTTCATCCTGCATACCTTTTGATTTGGTGGGATTTTCATTCTCGTCGGGATCGTGATGTTGATCTTCAAACATCTCATCGTCCTCAGGTAAATATTCACTCTCAGACTCTCTTCGCTCTTTCTCTTTACCTTTCCTTGATTTTCGCCGCATCCAATGCTCTTTTGACAAGTCCGTAGGTCGGGGTCGAGGGTACGCAAGGGTGCCATGTTCCAAACTGGGAAGATGTTCAGATGAGCGCTTGTAGCTGGATTTCCTGGACGTTGAACTCCCTACAATAATTTGTCAAGTCGGTGAGACATTATTACTTAGACTTTGACATCGTGAAAAAGTATAGAAACTCACCTTCAAGGCTTGGATTGTCCATGACCAATGTCGAAGCAACTCTTTCGGGAGAACCGCTCTCTGGTACTGGAGATGTTGAAGCGCCCATAAGCAGTAGCGCCAGAGACGTACAAACTAAATTAAATGAAACAGACGTACTGTCTTCTTTGTCTTTTGTGTTCACCGAAAAGGTGAAAGATCCTTGCATGACATTTGAGGGTTCGGGTTGAACATCGGTCACGGGGAGTATGACTCAAAGCCCAGTAATTTCAGTTTTTGGCGGATACAGTACACTTCGACTATAAGATATATATCAATTAGACGTACTCAATTCTTCATAACTTCTACAGCATTCGATGAGCTTGGGTTTATCCATTCCAAAGGTGTCCACACCAACGTCACACAACATGTTTTCCAGCTCGCTGTTACTGTAGATTTGAAAGTCAATTTCCTTCGAGTTGGTTGTAACAGCCTGATCCTCTGCTGTCGATTTGTCGCCTGGGTCTTCAGCTATATCTAATGACAAAGAGGTGGTTTTTGCCTCTTTGATCAAAAGTCTTCCTTTCTTTTTCGACACATGACGGTTTTGTAGAAGCTGCAGGAGACGGGTTCAAGAAGTTTTTGGGCCAACCGAGATAACACCCTCTTCGAGGTCTTTTTCTGGACAATTTCGCACGTAAGTCAAGCTTAGCTAGCGCAACATCATCGATCCACCCCAAAAATTCATCATCACCACTTTACTCGGAACATCCTTACTCTTTTTCTTCGAACGTATCACGACTTCTTGATCATCCTCCTCCACATTGCTTTGTTTGCGTTTCAATCTGGAAGGATTTTCGTTTCTTGATTTGGGCGGATCGATGTTGATTGGAGCGTTCTCGCCACCTGCGGAGGAGCGAAGCTTCCGTTGAACACTAGACCCTCGCATGATTATGTGCAGACAAATGAGTTTAAAATTTTAGAAAAGTAGAAATATCCCAGAGCAGTTGAGTAACGAAACAAGATAAGAACGAAAGGAAGGATGGTGATGGAAATTAACGTAACTCAACATCAGATGCTTTTATGAACAATCTTTACTTGAGGCTCATGAAATGACTGGGAACCAAAATGACAAACTTTGAGTGGGCAACGCATGACATGACATGACTATAGCGCTGAGATCATTTTCACATATTCATCCCAAGCTTGGGGTAAGCAAGAGTCCTTCCTCATGATTGGATCCGTTGTTCAGAATACCACAAAGTTTGTGGTTCATCACGATCTGACTTTTCGTAATAAGTAAGAAAGATAATACATAAGTAATCTATCTATAAGACAAAAATTCGGGAAATGTCGAAACACTCGATCTAGATCTGGGATTACAAAGGTTGTAGTACTACATTTCGGGCCGGATATCCAATTAAAATCCAAGCTGATTCTTTGTATTAAGGTCATTGACTCTCAAACCATCTCGTGGATTCCAATTTTCACCAAAATCACCAACGACAACGGCATATATCAGCATATATCACCCATCATTCGGCCTGCCCACGAACAAACACGAATGATTACCGGCCTTTCATCATGCAACCTCGGCTCCTTGCTAGGTCCATCACCCTACCCCCACCCCTTTAATATCAATATACAAAGCAACCGCTCAATCATTACGAAATACATTACAAATCCCCTTTTTGAAACTTGCGCTCATACCTTGACTCGACTTGCTCATGATCTCAGACTCCTGCCTTCACAATCAAGTTATAATCTCGACTCCGACTCCGTAGGCCTTCATGCAAGTCTAGTCCTCTTCCCAAACCGTCGACGTCTTCACATCTTATATACTTTCTTATTTATTTTTCTGTTGAATTACAATATCCTCTTACATTACAAAATCTGTGTTGACATGTACACAACTCCCTCTCAAGATACCGAACCATCTGCGCTCAACACCAATACCTCTGCAAACAGTAGTAACCAGACTATGATCGACCAGTCACCTATCACAAACTCTATCAATATTGACTACAGCACAAGTGAAGCATCTCTCTCTCAGCAAGTTGAAGTGGAGCAGCCTCAATGTATGTCGAATTCAAATTCATTCATTTGTTTCACTGTCAGATTGTCATCCTATACTTACAAGCCTTGCACGGCGATGATTATTATTAGACTTTGATCCAGCCTCAGAAAACCAAGAGGCCGTGTTGAATGATTTGGATCATTATCCTCAACTTCAACAGCTTCGATTATCTTCTCCCACAGCCTCTTCACTCGCATTCAAAAAGCGTCCTGGCTCTGAAGAATTGGATTTGTTACATCCATCAAAGCGCAGAGGAGTTTGTAGGTCATCTATATTTACACTTTATGTTTCAATTCATGATACCCTGGCTAACATATATGATGTAACAGGTCAAACGGAAGACAAGACTCCAACTCGAGGGAAGTCCAAGATGACTCGAACCAGAAAAGTGAGTGTTCCTTAGAATTCCCTTTATATACTTCGACCTGGTTGATAGATCTTGCTGATCTCGCATTCATGGATTTCTGTCTTCAAAACAACCAAAGCCATCGAGAATGTCGTCTCTCCAAGCAACCGCACCAATCATTCCTGATCAGCTTGACAATATGTCGGTCCCTTCCCTTCAGGCGTCAACCAGCATCCACGACTCCAAGAAGGAGCATGAGGTGTCCAATCTCAATTCCCAGCAGCAATCTAGTCCCTCAAGCCAGACAGCTAGTGATGGTGATGGTGTCTTTCAAACTGACCCGCCACAAAAAATTGGCAGTAAGTCTGAGCTACTCTCACTGCAATCTTCATTTCTCACTGTATCATTTGATTCAACCCAGTACACAATCTCGAAGAGAAAATTTCACATCTTGAAAGCACAATCGACACATTGATGTCCCTCATCAAGGACAAGATGTTTCAGCATTCGGAACAAGAAAGAAAGAATGGTATGTGAATTGTAATACTTATCGTGACCAACCCGACACACTGGCTGACTTCTGTTTGTGTTCTCAGCTGCTAGATTTGAGCGCCAATCCAACCTCCTTGACAGCGCCAACAAAGAAATTGGCTTACTTAAGTCCAAGGTTGAAGTTCTAGAAAGCAGTGTGATGGATCTAGAGCATGAAATGACCTCTGCGCACTTAACACTAAGAGTGCATGCTAGAATAATCCGACGTATTTCAGGACTTCGATATGATGATTTTGAAGTAGAATACGATCAAGATTCCTCTGACTCGCCTGATTCGTTTATTTCATAAGGTACAATGCCACTCTTGAATACGATCACATGCTTGATAGATATACATTGTTATCAATCGGAATGTGTTGGATGAAGCGTACCTTTCCTTTCACATCGATATTGATTTGTATTTTTAGTTTCTGTCTTTCTCTCAACTCTAAATGTCTCTCACATACATACAAAACACGTGTGACTTGCTGAAATCAATTTGGATCATGTACCCATCTAGAAGTAAAGAACAGCTGGGAGTCCATGAGATTCTTCATAGTGTAGAATCACATGTAGGTTGAAGATGTTATCTATGAGTACAAAGTGACTGCTCCCGTTGTCGTGCTCTCTTTGGCGCATTATAGTCTCAATTACAGTCAAAACATCTTCATGCAAGTTATTACATGGATGAGATACAAGAAATAAATATACTTCTTTATCATAGATGGATTCTTTTCCAATTGGTTTTTACGACCAGATACAACATCACCGAATCTCATGTTTCATCATTGAGCCCCATCAGAACCTTGATCTTCTGAGCTCCCCTCTGTTTGATCCTGCTCCATCAGACCTACAATTGCATCATCATGGATCGAGATTGCTTTTACTGTGTTTTCCAACTCTTTACGCAATTCAAGCACTTGATGCTTCAAGGATTTCAACTCATCTTCCATTGTTGGAACGACTGAAACTTTCCCCTCAAGGTAATCTGCATTGTTTCTCATGTGAGAAATAGATTGATCTGGAGCACATCTGTCAGCATTTTGGCCAGCGTGCAATCTGGGATGTTGAATCAACACACCAAACTCCTCCAGTCGTATGCTCTGGCGAAACAGAGTCGTCGAATTTGTCTCGATTTTGTCTCCCATCTGTGCTGTAGAAACCTCAAGCGCACAGACTTTGAAAGATGCACGCATCAGAACATACATTGGGTTTTTCTGCAACTTATCGCACTCACTGCGTTCGTCGCGGCTTCTTTCTTCTAAGAAGATGTCGATTCCAGACTTTGAGGTCCCTTTAGATGTCATTTTAGGTGACGGGTCAAAAGGTATAGGTGGAATATCCTTTCCAATCACTGGACGTATACAATTGTCAATGTATGAATTTCAAGCCTTGAAAAATATAAAAATGAAAAAATCTAACCCAAGTTTCCAGTGTCCAAAACTTCTGAATCGGAAAAATTGATCAGGTCCACCGCTTCATCGACGTTGGTAATTTCAGGCTTAGCTGGGACTCGAATTTTATGTTTGGTCTTTGTTTGCATGCTCAAGCTAGTGCTAGGCATCCCTTGACTTAAATTTGGAACCGCCGAAGTGACTTGCAATTGCTCAGACCTGATGATTTCGTTTTTGTTTATCACACTCTGAGGCACGTGGGATACACTTTCAGCTTCATCCTTAACCGGGGAGATCTGTGAGCTCTGAGTATAGAGAACCCGATGCATCTCATCAGCCTATATAATCAGAAAGTAGATATTGAAAGTAAAAGCCAAGCAACTTTCTTTTTTGAGTGCGTACTACTCTTGCGAACACGTGATACGTTGATATCTAAAAAGACGTGCCAAGTCAGTTGAGCTGTAAGATAGAGAAGTGAAAGATAACTTTCATACCTGCTATTTTGGCCTGCTTCCCACTTGGTGCGCATTCACTCTCGCCTTCTACTTGCGCAGGTCGCTTTCGAACAAAAGAGGATGGGGGGACTGGAGTTGTATTCCGGAGCGCCTCCAGGGTCTGAGTTGGTGGGTAGTGAGATCGCCCAGCTTCAAGTGAAGAAACACTGGGCTGCTTGACGTGTGTGGCGGATGAGTGATTGGCAACCTTCTGATTGGATGCTTCGGCCATAGGAGTCGTAAGGGTCAGCGCAGGTGCATCGCTAGTGGGATCCGGGAAGACTATAAATGAGATACCAAACATGGAGATTGACCAAAGTGACGAATGTGAGCTTTTCCCAGGTGAACAAGAGAGCGTAACTTGATATATATGTTAAAAGACGTACACGCGGGCTGTGCTTTTCGCACCTTGTCCGAAAGTTCCTCTATGCCGATTCTTGGTCTCAATGTGATCATTGGATGATTTATATGCATCCAATCAATCATCATCTGCTTGTTCACACCTGGAGCATTCGGGTCAAAGATCTCAAGCATGGCTGTGTCTATTGTTAGTTCGAATAGATGATTATGAGAGTGAGGATGACTGTGTTAGGTCGAATACAACAAAACTTCAAGACACATACGCCAAAATCCAATCGCCAAAGGGAGGGAAAAGGATGACGGAGACGGATCGGATTAGTAAATGGGAAGATATAAAATTGAAAAACACAAGTGAACGAAAAAACTCAAACGTTGGCCGGGATTATAAACCTTCCAATTGTCATCTGCTCGGAAATGTCCATAGAAAAAAGAACCCTCCACTAATTTATGACTATAAATTTATGACTATGCACTCGGAGTGGACCTGCATTCTTCTAAATGCAAGGCGTTCTTTCAAATTAATTGAATAGGTTCATGAGGGGTGTGTGATGACAACCGGAAACAGGCATTGGGGGAGTAAGGTCCTCATAAATTCCCCATTGCCCTCTCATTAAAATTGAATGTTGAACATGTTCAACTAATCACTCTCTCAGATTCACCAACGTTGCGTATGAACAGATGACTCTCACCCATCTTCACAGTTATACATAAGCTATGGTCCATATATGTAATGAACATTGGTTTTCGTCATGTGCGGAAAGAGCCTTTGCAATCTGACTACGCCGCCAGAGTCTTTCTTCCCCAGAGGCCTCATCAATGGATCTATCACGTTACACTTGTATTTTGGCTCATATGTTGTATGTATTATTTTTGTAATGAACTCAGTTTTGAAATGTGTGATCTGATTTTTGTATTAAGATCATTTTTGAAACCCATTTCCTTTGTGCATACATAGACATAGCCATAACAGTTCTCATTCGACTTCAATGCGTCCTGTCCGACGACTTTCAGATGGGAAACTCGTACGCTCAATTTGAAGATAAACACACACATTCCGTGTCACAATGAGAAACTAAGATCTAAAACAGTAGAACTCGAAGAAATAGAACCAAAAGAAGAATTACTGAAGAAAAAGCGGATCACAACATACGGCATTGATTGAAGGGAGGATTCCAAAAAGACTCAAGATCACTGAACAGGAAATTAAGTGTTTAGAAAAAGAAAAACCCGACAAGAGCAACAATGACGGTAGCAGAGATGGTGAGCTCTTTCTTGGAAGCTGAAGAGCTAGCATCAACAGCAGTGTAGGAAGTGTTCTTTGCTGGTGCAGCTGGTGTAACTGGTGCTGCTGGAGTAGCAGGGGTCATCTGAGAGGCACAAACAAAAACGTTAGATTGACATCACCAATTGTAGGAAAGAAGGAAAAAACATACCGGCATGGTAGGAGCAGAGGTTGTGTTACAGGTTTCAGGGCACACAGGTAATCCGTTCCAGGTGCTGGTGTTGAGGCCAAGGTTGTGGGCTCCAACGATGGTGACGTTGAAGGTAACATCCATGGTGGAGTTCATCATGCTAGAGGTAGAACCAGTGCCATTGTGAGCGGTCGGGTGCATAGACTTGGGTAACCAAACACAGGGGGTTTCTGGAAGTGCGGGATGAGTGGCCTCAGGGGTGGTAGGTTTGACCGGAGCAGCAGGAGCGGCGGAAGGAGCAGGAGCGGCGGGAGTCTCAGGAGCGGCAGGAGTAGCAGGAGCAGAAGGAGCAGCACCGCCGGGAAGATCTGGGAGCGTAATTCCGACAGATGCACAGCTCTGATGGGAAGTCAGACCCATGATCGGTTATTGAGAACTACAAAAAGGTGACGACTAACCTTTTTGCCAAAATCCATACCGGCTGCTTGATCGGCGGCGTCGCAGGTTAGGTAGCAGTTACCTGAGGCCATGATGAAGTCGGACAACGAGCAGAGACAAGAAAAGTCGGTCTGGTGAAAGTTGAACAAAAGTTACGCGTCAGTTTCATGGTGACACTGAAGTCAAAGTCCAGAATGAAAAAGTGGATGTACCGGAGAGCAAGAAGTGCCGTGTTCAGAGAACGCGGTGAGCAAGCAGTTTTGCACACACGCTGGCAAACTTGCAAGAATCTCGGCTTGTCGTTTGACATGTGGGTCGGTAGCGACAGCGCCAGCAATCAAGGCCGAAGCCATAACGGAAAGTGTGAAACTCTTCATTTTGGAAAATGTGCAAGTAAGTAAGCGCGGATTAAAAGGATCGCAGAATAACGACGATTTAAAGCTATGTAAGGCTATGTGATGGATAAATGAGTGAAGGAGTGATCAAATAAAGCACAGGAAGAAATCGGTGGGGCCAAACTGACGTCTCCTTCGTTGGTGCGGCTTTTATGTATTTTATGTAGAAGCCCAAGACAGACACAGGTTGGTTCCGGGTCGTGGAAAAAGAAACTTCTAGACGGTGATAGTCGAGGTACATCGAATGCAAATTCAACCATTTGAAAGTGTTTGAAATGGATGACAGAGGATGACAGTCAGTTAGATTCGTCGAGCCGGATGCATATGTAGAGCGTCGAGCTTTAAAAGTCTCTCGTCACTTTTCCCATGACCTCGACGTCCATGACAAGAAGCCTGTCATGAACTCTTGATTCAAGCAGCGACCCCAAAAATTGAAACGAGTGTTTATAGGCGCATGAAGGCATTGGTGGATCAACTCATCCTGATTCCGCCTGACTCTGGCCACTTTTTTTTCTAACTCGCCGTAATTGCCGCATACTCGCGACTGGGTCTATCGAAAGCCGCGGGCCACGAGGCAGGTCGCGCATGGATTTTTTGCTTTGTCCCTTCCGATATACTGTAGTACATGTTCATTGATTCGTTGATTGGCTTGAGCGTGACATTCATGTAAAATACGTGCGAACGTTCTTCTACTGTTCTTCGACTAGCTGACATCCGTCAAGCAATCGTCGATTAAAGCTACGTAGATGATCTCTAAACTTATCAAGAGTCCCGCGCTCGCGCATCCTACGGCTCGTTTAGGTTTTCTCGAGGGTGATGAGGTTCACGAGTCACGGCAGCCGGCATGTAGAATGCACCACTCTCGAGTGGATTCACCCTATGTAAACAGTAGTCAAACTGCATTTCTGGACTGTACCTAGATTCTATTTCCTTTCATCTGAAAACCACTCGCATCCATTTAGGCCCCGTTTGGTATGGCTTACAAAAACTGGAAGAAATGTATTATTTTTTGAAAATAATCTATTTTACACTTTTTCAAAAAAACTCGTTTGTTATCGCTTTTGCCCTTCTTTGCCCCTCTTTTCGAAAGCCATTTTTCAGTCGATAATCGATTATTTTGGATCATTTTGAAAGCTGCTCCAGACCAGCTTTCAAGTCTCGATAATCCATTATCAACCCGGGAAAGCCTCAAAACTCGGGGCTCCGTCGCATCAAGATTCAAGACGACTTCCGATCAAAATCTTGACAACTGCAAACGATTCTTTTTCCATCACGCAAGAAACTTCAAATGTTCATGTTTATCAACTTTAGTCTGATTTGTATATCTTCAATTGTTGTAACGCGACTTCAATCTTTGCTAACGACTGTGATCCTTACAAGTTCAACTCTCATTTTGTAATAAGTTGACCTTCACAATCATCAATTTGACTTTGGTATTTCCCCCAATTCCTGGTGATAGATAGAAACAACATCACCTGTTTCCTGGTGAACATATAGACTGAGGAGTTCAAACTTGGACCAAGTGATCATTTCACTACTGATTAACTCCATTAACCCATTAGTATTCTATCGAGTCATCAATGGATCAATAGCCAAGTTGTGTTGATCTCTAAACGACTTGACCCATCAAAAATCAAGATGATAGTAGATTTTGATTGATATGTAGTCAAGTTTGATGAAATACCAAACAAGAACAAACAACATCAATTGATTTTTGCTTTGAAAATTGAATTTCAGATCTGAAAATTGGCTTCATAAAATAATAGATTATGCAATGCATAATCTATTAATTTCTAATGTATTTATAAAAGCTAAAAGCTATACCAAACGGGGCCTTACATATGTACCCTGAAATTTGAAAACTACAAGTCGAGACCTGATAACACCCAGGCACGCATGATCATGTGCCTGAGAAGTACCAAGCTCGCACCGTAAGCTCTGCATCTCACAACTTCGTTCAGAAAACACCAAGTTCACATACATATGTAGTCAGCTCAGCACTCTACCACTCTCCGCATCAAATTCAGAAAACATCAAGCTCACAAATTCAACACCATATTATCACATACTCGTATTCCACACCTCCGTCCAATAAGCGTCCAACAGTCACCTCACCGGTACTCATTATGGGTGGCCGCAGAAAACTGCGAGGTTTCATCACCAACGTTACTGATGATCGTAAACGTCGAAAGAAAGCCAATCCGGAAGCTGAAGCCAGGGCCGAAGCCAAGTTTATGAAGAGAATTCTAGACACGAAACAATTCCTCCGCGGCACCCCACACCATCCTCACGAGCCAGCCGGAGGCCCAATTAGAACCCCTCACGACGGAACTGGAGATCTTGATCTTGAAGAGCCCAATGCCAACGACTTTATGCTATTGAATATGAACGAAAATGATCCCGATCCGCCCGATGATGATGGTGACGACGATTGGATTGATGTAGAAGACTTTGATCGAGATGGAGCAATTCGAAGATTTGTTCAAAAACATCGAGGATACCGTTATGCAGCCCGACGTGATTCCCTTCAAAAGCAATGGGAAGGTCTCGAAAATCAGATCACAGCCGTCTACCTCGAGAATGAAGTTGCTACGTTGAACTGGACTACAAAAGCATCATACATTGGTGATGTAAGCCCGGACTGCCAGTGTCACGCAGGTGTGTTTTATACTCGCAAAATGGATTTAATCGACATTCTTGGTAAGGCTTTTACTCAATGAAATCCGATTCCACACTTCGAAACTGACCTTCCACCGCTATCACAGGACGATCAATATCTCTACCAGTCCGATTTTGCAAATGCTTACCTGAACCCATCCAGCTGGTACATCAAGGTTATATAGCTGCTTCTCCAAAACAACCTCGCACCGCCTTTTCGATTACTTTATTACAACAACATCACCACTTATGGCTCACGACGGTTGCTGCGAGGTCAAGCTATATTGATGGCCACCTCAATTTCCTGGACAAGCGGTCAGACAAAGCCCTTCGAGCAAGAGGAGGTCGTGGCACTCGGCGCAACCTATCAGAGCCCTTTTCCAGCGCTACTCACCTCTTCACCCGTATCACTGTACTTGCTAGCACACTACTCACGGAAGGACTTCAACTGTCAAGCAAGGACCTTTGGGCAGGCAAATGCCCTCGATGCTTTGGGCCGGTACTGAATGAGACGAAGGGATCCGTTGAAGAGCCTGACTTCATTATTTGCATGGACGGAAACTTTCAACATCGACATAATATCCTCGCTAGCAAAGACCAACCTGAGGAAAGCCAATACCCGTCCTTATTCATTAAGCCAAGTAAAATAAAGCAACAAGATGCCAAATTAGCCGCTGCCCAAGCTACTGGGAATGTTGCAGCAACCGAAGTAAGTTATTTTCCTTAAAATAACTGCGTAATGAGATATTGACTCGAAAGAAACCACAGGATCCCTGCTCTGAATCGCACAAGACAGCGAACGACACTCGAAGCTCCTCGACGTGGGACCGATGCGATGACACTGGTTTATTTGCAGCCGCCTGTCGACACGATGTTCCATTAGTGATGGCCAATATATATCAAAGTGGCGAAAAGTAAGTAGTCCATTCTAATCATTCTACAAATTCTGATTAACTGATTTGAGCCGTCTTTCTCCTTTCACCAGGATGTATTACCCACTAAGCTTGATGAAGCATATCATGGACGACTTTCCAGACGAACGATTTGCTGTTTTGTATGACATTGGGTGTCATCTTGACAAGCATATTAAATTGGTAAGTTTCGAATTTTTCACCGAGTTATTGATCACCTCCTGTTGATACTGATTCAATATAAATCGTAGCACAATCTATTACCTGAACATAAAGGTCGAATCATGTTGGGAACTTCTGTTTTCCATGCCTACGTGCATACTTGGGCCTGTCAACTTCTCTACAACCCTAGGTACCTTGATCACTGGGGCTTATCCGACGGCAAAGGACTTGAAAGGAATTGGTCCTTCTTGTCGCGCCTGATTGCTGGTTTACGAACGTCGACTCGATTACATCGGCTGCAAGCGATAGCTATACTGGCCGGATTCCTAACCTACGGCCTTCAACTAAGCACTGCCGATTGGTTATTAAGGCGACTTCAAAAGACTTCAACAACCATCAAAGAAGCTCAAGCTACACTCGACCATTGGTGTCAAAAGCTCAACCCGTATGAGCCCGGCCGCAAATATACGACAGCGTTCTTCCGGAAGCAATGGCAATCCGAAAGACTTGCAAATATTGAAAATTCAAAAGATATCAAAATTCGACAACAGATCGAATTGGGCAGGTTACTGTGCCTTGAGGATTTGCATTATAAGGTCTGGTGCGTGATTGTTTCACCTGCAAATTGCACCTTCCAAATCTTTCACTGACCCCCAGTTTGATCCATCACAGGCTCGAGGATGGATCACATGAGCAGCGAGCCGCTGAACGGCTGGAACGGGTTCAACAGCTTGGAATCGAGATTGCCGCACAGCGGCAGAAAGTTGGATTGCCTGACTGCTTTACTCATCTACCAAGTAAGCATGTCCACATTTATTATCGCTCCGTAATTATTGATGTTTAATAATCTTGATTAACAATTAGAGGACGCGTTCGATTTGTTATTGAAGGTCTGGTTTGCCAAGACAGAGGTGCGCACCAGATTCCTAGCTTTGAGGGCCGAACAAAGGCCATTGGACCCAGAAAACCGAGTTGGTGGTAGCTCACATCTTGGTAAGTCCTTCATATAACCTCATTTGTTGATTCTACCTGAACCATTATTCCCATTCCGAAAGGTACTCATGAGAAGGAGCGTATCATGGACGCCATTCAAAAAAGAACACGCACTATGAAGAAAATCTTGTCAAATTATAACTACATGGCCCAACAGTTCGCCGACATGTTCCCTGATCATCCAACATCTCCAGTAATTGAATACATCGAACTTCTTGAACTCGAGGCCGATGATCCTTTCTGGAACAACGGAATTTTCACTCACTCAAACGAACCATGGGCACTTGATCATGCCACTCAGATGGGAATGCGAGCACTTGCTCGATTACAACGAGGGCGTGAGGAGCATCGCAGGGTCGGGTGGGAGGTGCGAAGAGCCATGCGTTGGGCTACTACTTCTTTTGACCGTCTCTGGAACATCTTGGAACCTCTTTCGCAGTCGGACATCCTCCCTGAATCAGTTCAACCGTTCTTAGAACATGATATACTCAGTTCTGCTTCATTACGCGCCAAGGTATCTATTGTTAAAGGCGTACTTCACAACGAATTGACCAGGATTGCCGAGTTAACTCTTCGGTGGGATTTTAAGATCAAGCAGGTCTATTTGAAAACCGAAGCTCAGGTAGGCGATTTGCAATTGATGACGCGATGGCAGTGGCAACTTCAGAAGATGGAAGAACTACGATTGAATGGCTTTGGATCGACCAAAGCTGGGGACTTTGAGCATCTAATGCCTACAGTTCCAGTCCGACATGATATCATACCTCAAGGCGTTAGAGAAGGTGGACCTGAGGAGCCTGATGAGGTTGGTGATGGAGATGTATCTGACATCAATGAGGAGGAATGGGCACAGGGAATCGATGAAGGTATGATGAGAAACATACTCGAAGCTATAGGACATGAAGTAATATCGTAGTAATTTTTCTCTAAGTTTTGTTTTAATTTCAATGTCTTTTGTTGTATTTATAATTTTTCTCTTTATCGTTGTTGTATGATATTTGCAATTGATCAGAATAAACATGAGACACTCAAAATTATAAGAGTTTATATATATATATAAGAGTAAGTATATAAGAGTAAGGAAAAAACACCTTGACTCTAGTATTGATAGTGATTCTCGAGCATGAAGATGCCGTGTTATGGTAAAAAGTCGTCCATAAAACATGACCTCCACACCAACACGCAGATGAGTCATATAGATGAGTCATATTACACCAGTCTATGTTCTGTAATATTCATAGAGTTCGTGTAAGAAATACACCTACAATCCCATTGAATGGATGTTTCGAAGGTGAAGATGACGCGCTATCGAAAAAAGTCAATAGTGAAAAATGTCCCCCGTACAAAGGTGCACATAAAATCACGTGCAAAGACCAAATTTACGAAGTCATCATAGACTTCGTGTCAGTTTTGTACCTGAGGGAGACGAAATTACCTACATGCTAGGATTGAAAGCAAGTTTTGATGAGGAAGATCAAGAGTTACGAAAAAAACTCATTAACAAAAATTGTCCACCATACAAAGAAGCATATTAATCAACGTACAAATATCGATTTTGCTTCATCTTCATAGACTTAATGTATGTTTTGTACATGAGTGAGCCAATAACCCCTGTTTTTTAGGATTAAAAGCCATTTCCGAAGGTGAAGATCACAAGTTACGGAGAAAAACCATTAATGAAAGATGGCGCAAATACGAACAAGCATATAAGTCAACGTGCAAATAGAGAATTTGGGACATTTACACTGACTTTCTGTCACTTTTATACCCGATTCTGAAGGAAAAACATGACTTTCGGGATCGAAAGTGTCTTTCAACAATGAAGATGAGGAGATATGAAAAAAAGCTATTAGTGAAAATTGACCGCGATACTAAGAAGCACATAAACTCACGTAGAAACATTGATTTTGTGCTATCTTCATAATGTCCATACCAACTTTGTGCTCAAGTTGTATCAGATACCAATAACGAGTGTTGTGCAAGATTTCCCTCAAAACGCTTTTCATGAAATCTAACACAAAATTGGACACGTATTGGCCACAAACATAGTGAAGAGAGCACAAATTTGATGTTTTAACGTGAGTTTATGTGCTTCTCTGCATCGCGGATCTTTTTCATTATTCACTTTTGGCCATAACTTGTCATCTTCATATTCGAAAAACAATATCAATCGAAAAAAAAGAGGTTAATTGCATCCAGTCAGCTACAAAAGACACACAACGTCTATGAAGATGAAGCCAATGTGATGTTTGCACGTTGAGTTATATGCTTCTCTGTATGGCGGTCATTGTTCATTATTGAGTTTTTTTGATAGCGCATCATCTTCACCTTTGAAAAAAGGTTTTCATCTTAAAAAACAGGCCTTTACGGGCCACTCACTTACAAACCGTACACAAAGTCCTTGAAGATGAAGCCATACGGACGCTTGTACGTTGGTTATTATGCTTCTCTATACGATGGACATTTTTCATTATTGAAAATTTTGCATTGCGCGTCATCTTCACCTTCGAAACATCCTTTCAAACTTACATTGTGAGTGTTTTCTTCTCGCTCAATCACAAAGCTTACTCGAAGACTATGAAGATGACGCCTAAAAGATACGTCCGCGCTGGCTTATATGCTCCTTTTGACGGTGGTCATTTTTCATTATTGACTTTTTGCCGTACCTCCTCATCTTCACCTTCAAAAACCGCTTTCATTCCTCAAAGTGGTGTATCTGCACCTTCGAACTCAGGTATAAAAGTCACACGAACTTTCCTCATCTTCACTTTTCAAACAGTCATATCACTGATTTCATTCCTCATCGTGTAGTATCGTGTATCCACTATATATATATATAAATATTACAAATCAATAACTCATAACCCGGTCAACAAATAGAAATGAAACGAAATGAAACAATTTGAGACGTTTGCGCACAAGCGACATATGTAGTAGTACAAAGATAACATAGAAAACTTAAGAAAATATAATCCAAAAAGGAAATGGATAAGAATCAGCACACATCTTGTATCGCGGTGTACAGTCAATGGAAATTTGTATCATAATATCTTTTACGGAAGGCTGCTACCTATCACTACTATCTATCTGTAATATAACAAGCAATCATCTCGTGTCTATAATTCGATATCAAGAGATTGTCTATAATTCGATATAAAGAGATTAGACACGCGTAAGCCTGTAACACTCTCGCTTATAGCAGCAGCAGCAGTGGTACTGTTCCTTCCTACTCAAAGAACCAACGATGTGTTAGCTGGCGATCTTATGTAACATCGTATGATTCCAGGAGACTTCACTCACGGTCTCCAACTCCAAATCTTGGACCAATCGTTCCATGGGGACACCACCGGGTTGAAAGCTTGAGTTTGTTTTCCTTTGAAAGCTTGACGTGTACTTTGTTTCGAGTGTGAATGAATGGACGGAATCTTGTTTGACAATGAGGTAGCCTTAGGAGTGGCGTTTGGGGAAGTCAGATCAATCCTGTCGGGGGATGATGCAATCTCGAGATCGATGATCTTGGTCAAAGCAGTGTTCGGATTGCTGTTGGTGGAAGGTGGATCCAAATTCATCGATCGAGTATTCAAATCGGTCGGTTGGCCATTTGAAAGGTCGGTTGTGACACTGATAGGGGTGGGCGTGCCAGATGGGCTCTTATCGTAGATGTTTTGACTAGATGAGGCATGTAAGTGAGAAATGTTGTTGATGTTGAGAAGTAGAGCAAAGAGACTTACTTCGAGGTATCTTCCAACAGCGTGTCCATAGTCCACTTGCAGTAAGGAGGCATACCGAGTAATGCCTTTAAACTGTATATCTTGCCGTTAGTTGTACGGCGCCAGTCTGGGATCGGTTCGGCTGAATTGGAGGTTTGAGCACATTGATATGAACGGTGCCCAAAGATGCCACACTTCATGCACTGATCTTGGCCTTGGTGGACTCCCGGGTGCGCAGTTAAAGGGATCGAGACGGGGACACGCTCAGCGCTCCCGCGAGTAGACTTGATTAGTTCTAAGATCGAACTGGCCGCTGCTGAACTGACTGGAAATGACGAGATATGAAGGCCGGGCGTTAAGGCACTTGGGGAAAATTGGATGGCGGTACGGTTGGTAATGGGTGAAGACATGATGCGATGTGTGAGGTATAATCTAGACTTGACAAGTTGAGAAGTAGTATAGAAGATTTCAAGTAAAACACGATAGTGAAAGTGAAAGTGGCGTGGATGGATGATAACTCGAATGGTGTGGATGATAAGTGTAGATCTGGAGCAATGAGGAGTTGGAAGGAAGACAAAAGACTCACAGGTTATAAAGTCCAAGAGATGACCTTCCACCCGATCATCGGAGGTTGAGAAGCCTTGAAGTGTACTTGAAGACGCGAATCGTGACTTGAATGTTTATCAATAGATAACCTTTATATTACGTGTACGTTGTATACGAATCATCAAATACTTGCATTGCATTAATGATTGGCTTCCTATACAAATTTCTCGCGATATCTCAATTTCTCAACGATGTTATCCTTTAGATAGAACATCGGGCACAACTATAAGTGTAGTAATCATAGTGACCGATATCTTTTTGTACATAAAGGATGCTTGCCGAAATGGATGATGCATGCCGAAGTCAATTCAGGCTTAAAGTGTACATGATATCAATATCGTAAATGATCCTTTGACTCTTGCCAAACTCAATTCACTTTTTCGAACGTGAATGTTAATTGAGCGCGTACAACTGAGGTGTTTCTTATCATCACCGTGAGTGACTCGTATCCTTTGGTTGTCTTATCATTTCATATCGAGCAAGAAACAAACTTTGAAACAAACAAAATAACAAAAAAATAACAAACAGTAACACGATATTTATGAATGCGACACGGTTTCCGAAGACATGGAATCTAGGGTATCAGAAGGGGGAACGCGAGATGTAGCAGTATCGGTAGTATTTTCAGTATTTTCAGTGTTTGCAGTGCGTTGAGGTTGAGCCGGAGTTGTTTGATTAAGTGGAGCCAGGCGGATCAAGTTGTTCTCGAGGTCGCTTTCGAGGGCCAAGAGTTTGGCACGTGTGATGTTGCTACTGACTGATCTGAAGGTCGCTTCAACTGATCGTGCGCCAGGGAGTAATTCAAGTTTGAATCCGGCTTCCGCGAGAGTGAGATCACATCTACTCCATGGCCAATGTTTCAACCCGGTTACTTCCTCTGAATAAAGGTATATATCAGCTGTGACTAATGAATTACATTCAGTCTATAAGACTTACTGCAATAACTTGAGAGGGACGCAACGACTCTGCTATGAAACTGGCGACTATTCTCTAATAAATGAAATCATCCGTTAAGCATGTAGAAACAAATCCGATATTTAGAAAACCTTATGAAAACCTACCTGATTTGGATTTGGTCATTTCACCGGGTTTTCGACCAACCAAGTGTGCTTGGACTTCGGTTGCAAAGTTATTGAAGCCATCCATTGCGTAGATATCCTCCACGATTTTCGTGACACCTACCGTTGAGCGCGTGAACTGAAAGCTATGAGTATTAATGTGATTGGAAACGCATACAATGACCATCTCAAAGTGGTTAGATTTGGCAAAAGGGATGCTCTGTTGCAGAAACTCGAGGCGTCACTCAGAAGTGTTCATCTGCAAGTTATCAATAAAAAGTACTCACCTTTTTCATGATGTCATCTAGATATTTGTCAGCGTTATCCTTGTATTTTTTGAGACTTCGTGGATTGACTACAGTGTTGGATCCAGACTGTAGTGTTTCGTTGCGAGATTGAGCCCCGACTTCCAGTTCCGCAAGGTCTTCGTCCATAGCTTGAAGGCTGGCCGGATCGGTCTCTTGAGTGGCCTCCTTGTAGACGTCCTTCTCCGCCTCAGTCATGCTTTTCCACACCGCACTGAGCTGTCTCATGCCTTCACCACTACCCACACCTCGAGCTAATCGTAATTTACCGTGCCTGTGTCAGTGAAGGATGATTATCGTTGTACATACTTAACTCACCTGCTTTGAAAACTTCTCTGGCTCTGGGACTTTGGAGGAATCGGTTCCATCGCGAAGGGCGGCGAACACCGATGTACTCTCCACTAAGCATATCACTTCTTGTCAGTGTAGTGTACATACATATGTACATACTACAGATATGGAAGAAATGAGTCGCTTACAAAACTGCTTCAATGTCTGAGACGGTGGTGCCAAGTTCGAGGGCTTTGATTGCAATCATGGTTTGCAATTCCTCGTGGAACTCAAGTAGAGACTCAAGGATATCATTGCTCATGCCGGAGGTGGCATGCTTTTCTGCTAAGTATCAAAGCTGAACCGCGGTTTTATCAGAGTTTTTCAAATCGGCTGGGTCGAACACCGGTTCTTCCTCCGTTTCAGCGCCAGAGCCGGTATCATTTCGCTTTCGCTTGTTGCTTTTACCTTTTTTACTTTTGGTTTTGTTGCGTTTGCGGGGAGGTTTGTTCGTAGCAGTTGATGGCACTTCGGTAGTATTGGTATTGGTACTGATGCGCTGGCTGGGTGTACTGGTATGTTGTGTATGGCTGGGAGTGTGGAGACCGCTCGCTTCGTGAGCAGCAATGCGTTCTAAATTGGCTACTACCTGGGTGCCGGTGGGATGGAAGGGGTGTCCAGTGATCGGCATAGTGGCTTGAATATTCTAGGTTGGCTGTGGTGAGCTGTGGTGATCTGAGTTTGGGGATGGATTGAGTTTGGATGGATTGGGTTTGAATTTGTGAACTTGGTGTTTTCTGAACAAAGTTGTGAGATGCGGAGCTTACGGTGCGAGCTTGGTACTTCTCAGGCACATGATCATGCGTGCCTGGGTGGTATCAGGTCTCGACTTGTAGTTTTCAAATTTCAGGGTACATATGTAAATGGATGCGAGTGGTTTTCAGATGAAAGGAAATAGAATCTAGGTACAGTCCAGAAATGCAGTTTGACTACTGTTTACATAGGGTGAATCCACTCGAGAGTGGTGGTAGAATGAAATATTCTCTGACAGGACCTTGAAATGCCCTTCAGTAGGCTTCAGAAAGGGGGGAGGAAAACACCGAGGAAAAAACCAAAAATGTGGAATTTGTGATGAGGGACCAGGGAGCCGGGGCACGGGTGTAGAACTTGAAGGTTGCACCGGTCCATCAATTTAGAATTTCGAAAAATTGGAAATTTAATGGTGGATTTTCGAAATCCATGCATTGGTGGGTCTTTGAAGTGATGGGCTGGCTCGTAAACGGAAAACTGCACAAGATGTGTGTCAAACTCATTTTGACTCATTTTGACCTATTCTTATTGCTTGTCTCTTCCTGACCCCGACAATCCAGTCATCACATTCAGGGATGACAATTAGGATAAAAGATCTTCCAATGGCGCGGGTTGTTCTTAGACTAGTGTGTTTGATCTTCCAGCTGTCTGCACTGTGGCACATCAAATGTTGCATTGAGTGAAAATACCAAGATAATAAGATAAGACACCATCAAAAAAGAGGCTGGTCTGATACTTTTGGAAGTTTAATCGATTTTTTGAATCAAGGGAAATGAATACTTTTGTTACCTTTTTTTACTCAGGTCTCTGTTGTGCAAATTGTGTTGGTGTGAAAAGCAAAGCAAAACGGAAAAAAAGCAAGTGCATTATGTGGTGCATATATTAGAGTCAAACCAAAAAAGGTTACCACAAACAAGTTTATGGAAAGTCCAGAAGGACTGTGCGCCGCGTCACCGGGTGCTAAGCTTAAGTACCCTGTGGCTGGGGAAAGATGCTGGGAACAGGAGCATAAGCACCTTCTGCATGTGGGAATGCATCAAGGAATGCTCTGCACCTTTTTGTCTTTGTGGTGTGGTTGTGTAATGTACAGTTATTCTAGAAATTGATGTCATGTTCGCCCATTTTTTCCCCCAAATACAGGTGACGCGCAGCACAGCAAGCCTGTATTTGGCACTAGTCTTTGTATCACAGATCGGAACTGTTCCAACAATAGCATTGAATCTCACCTCCATCCTATTCACTGTGTAATTTTACTAGTCACTGGCAGGCCAGTGAGTTCCATTCACCTCAATCCAATCTCAATTCAATGTCAGTTCAACATCAGTTTGACCTCAGGATGAGCCCCAACCCCCAAAAGCCGGGTTTCGAGGCGCCTGTGAGCCAGTTTTTTTCCCAGGCGCTAGAACGGTGCCCGAGCCCGGCAAACCCAACAGTTTTTTTCAACTACAGACCTAGAACGGCTCCCAGACCGAGAACCTTGACGGGAGTACCCGGGTAGCCGGGGTTTTCCGGGTAAACCTGGGAATCCGGCAAATACCCGGGGCTTGAAAACAAAAACCAACAAAAAAACCTCAAATCAATCAGGTTTCTTCCCGTTTTGTTGGGATTTGTAATGGCAGTGAACGTACATTCACAAATTTGATTCATATATCTGCTCTTTGGGAAAATATTTGGCCAGGAAGAGGCAAGCTCACACCCTTTGAAACCTCAAAGCAGGGGAATAGACCCGCTTTGAGCTACAGATTGAGATTGATCATTGACCACTATTCACCTCGGGAGACCCGAGGTGATTCAATTTTTTTTGCCTACCAGAACGACCCCCCGGAATGACTATCCCACGGGGTATGGTCATCCAATACAGGCTGGCTCGACCCCTGAGCCTTCTGGGAAGCCCCGCGGGGATCCCCAATCCCCCGGGTCTTGGGGCTCATCCTGAGTTTGACCTCCAATTATGTTTGAGTGGGGGATATGCATGGGCTGCATAATATCTCAAACCTTCCAGACATTCTGACACCTTCATGTGTGGACATGCAAGCAAACTTTATTCCAGTTCATTCTGGAAGGTTGCTTGTCTGCGACTCTAGGCCAAACATTGAGATTGGATTGATATTGAACTGACATGGATTTGAGATTGGATTGAGATTGGATTGAGCTGGATGTACCCACTGGCCTGCCAGTGAGTAGTAAAATGGCACTGTGATTCCTCTTCTCTCAATCACCTTCACTCAGCATTGAATCTCACCATCGTCCCATTTCATCCCTTTTCAACACGTTCCATTCATCATCAATATTGATTCAATGAATTATTCAATGAATTCTCTGGCTACAACGTCTTTCCATTGACCGCCCATGGCACAATAAGATTTCCTCCCAAGTCAATCTGCTTCCGGCAAAGTAGCCTAACATTTCCTCAACCACAAGTTAGCCAAAGAATTAAAACACTCATAAAACAACAGTCTCCTTTATGTCTGTCAACGCCAGAAAGAACTCCCAGAAAGAACCCTAAAATCATACATTTCCAAGAACCTTTCACTATCATCACTCGCAGTATGGTCAACCAATCAAATGTTCCCTTGTCTGTTTCTTTTCATCTCCATGCCTTTTTCTCTAGTCGTCTTTCTTTTGAACCCAGACTGATATTGATATGTTTTTGAATTTCTGTATTCCATGCAGGTCTGCGGCTAAAGGCTTGCCCCAAGGCAGAATCAAAGTCATGAGCTGTGTGATTCCCACTTGTAGCTATAAACAAGCCCTCCTGGGGCAAAGAGCAATGTTAGTTCCTTCGTGTTTAGATTTGTATCACCAATTGCAACAAAGTTGAAGGCTGTTCTTCCCTTTTGCTTTAGGTTTCCTGCTCCAGGCTCCACCCCACCCTTTGTCAGTCATGCTTTGACTGAGGTTGGCAAGTCACCATTCACCTCCCCCCTCAAGGCGCCTTCTAGACCAGCTTTGTCACTCTTGACCCCCTTGATGAACAAAGTCATGAACCGTCTACCTTCCGGCACCAGACCCACTCACTCCGTGTCCTCTTTGGATCTTTCAAACAAACCCCATATCCATCCCTTGATGTTTGAATCACCCGTCACTTTGCAAACGTTAGGTTTGCCTTTGACTGTTTGCACCACCCTTTCATCTGTTTCCAAAAAGACCAAGCACACTACTTCTTCCAACACAAAGAAGAGGCCTGCAAAGGTCTTGGATTTGGATTCCGACCTCAATCAGGCACATGGCAATGAGTCGGATGACTTACCAGATGCTGGTAAGCCACTTTCATTTCCTAATCACGCTTCATAAGCTATGCTAACTTGTCATTATCAGATCTAGGACTTCTTGATGCCAGTGGGATTCATCCATCTCAATCTTCCAGTATCCCAAACACCGTTGAGGGGGACAACACACACAGTTTTCAAATTGCCTTCAATTTGTGGCAGCTTGAAGTCCCCCCCGGAAGCTGCCAACGGTAAGAGATGCAAGAAAGCCCCCGGAGGCGCTCGACCTAGTCAGGTGAAGGCATCTGTGCCCAAATACAAAAATTACAACCCATAGGTACCCACAAAATTGATGCTGCTTGGACCCGCAATTCCCTTTGTTGTATTCAAAATGAACCTTTTCCAAGCCTGCAACCAAAAGCTTCCTTGGGTGTCTCAAGCAAGCACCACTATATATTGCGGGGCCAGAGCACCGCAACCCAGGTTTAAAAAACCCAGTGCTCCAAAACCCGCAATGAGATTGTGTTTTCATTCCACTATTTCCAAAATATAAAAAAACCCTTTACCGTACCCCAAGAAGTTTGAGTCTATATGACTCTGTACTTACACTGAATTCCAAGAGAGTGTGCTTGCACCAAGGTTATTACAGATCACCGCTTTCCTTTGGGTGTGCTAGATGCACAAAGGTGATTGAAATCCAAAAGATTTCATAATCTTATCAAAAAAAAAAGAATCAAACTTCAAAAAAAAACAAGAGAACAACTGTATATTTAAAATAAAGCGACCTCCCAGTCTTGATTAATGGCCATCTTCTCCAAAGTTTATAAGATCCTATCAAATTCTAACATGTTTATTTAGTGTTTTATGCAATACAGCCTTTATGCACTTTTTTTAAAAAAAAAGAAACCCTTTACCCGGGGGCCCGTGTGTTCCTCAACCTCAAGACCTCCCTCCACCTTCCTTTGCCACAATACACCACAAAAATACATTTACCAACCTGGCCCAAGATGGACTGTGGTGTTTGGACAGGCCTTCAAACACCAAAACATGGCCCCTGGAACTGAATTTTTTTTGACTCTGGGCCACTTGTGGATCAGGCTTCTATATTCAAACGACTGCTGAGAAGATCATAAGGTAAGAGTTTTTTGTTATATCATCTTTGATAGCAATTCTCCAAATAGCATCTGAACAGAACTTCATTATTCTCTTATTGTATATTACATCATTCAAATTGCCAAAGTTGTTTCCCAAACCTCCTCCCAAAGCCTTCAAGTCCCAGGTAGGTTGTCAACTAGAAATCTTTGCCCAGCTAGTCCTTCCTGTTCCCAGCCAGGCTTTGTGATCACTAGCAATGATTCTCGTACCACTCTCACTTGTCAATCAACTCTCACTACACCAAATGTAATCTTTACCGGGTGGTAAAGAAAACTACTGACATAGAAAAGTCCTGAGGCAACAGGAAGAGAGCTAAAAATCTGAAAAAATATGCACCTTGTTCCTAGATGTTGGGGCGTCATGATGAGTAATTTTTTGTATTTTACACGCAGATATTGGTTAATGTACTAACAATAAAGGCTGAAAATCATCAAAAACCCACCTGTAACAATACCTGAAATTTGGCCCTTGATTTTGTAGACAGGATTTTGAAATCTTCAAACATCAATAACTTTTG